GTGAGATCCACGAATCACCACAAGGACCAGTTGTTTATCAGAAAGACGTGTGGACACCCGAATCACAGTGAACAGACTTGTCAGTGTTGAGCAAGATTTTCCGATAACATAAGAAGGCAACAAAGATGTGAGGGCAATTCGATAAAGATGTACAAAAATCTAATCTATACTTTTAAAAGAAAAAACTCGACGCTGTCCGTGATTTATTGAGTGCCGAAACCTCTTAGGAGTAAAACTCGGGACCTTAGGCGGGCTTCGAACCGCAGGGCAGGAGGCTCAGTTGGTGAGGTAGATATCACGTCAGTCCCTGGGAAAGGTAATTGCGGATTCAAAGCCTACCTGAGGTTAGACTTTTGCTCATATCTCAACATCCTTGCTGTTCCATTTTATATCATATTCTGCCGTGAAAGAATAATAGTCAGTGAATAAAAATTAAAACACCTCTTATATTCTTACACTTATACCGATAGTTTGAAAAAATAAAAATCACGGACGCTAAAACAAGCACGACGAAGACGACAAACAAAGAGTGGAAAAAATCAATCAAAAAAAAAACCAGAACTTGACAGTCAAATATTCCTAACTGTAGTAACTCCCACGTTCGACTTTCTATTAACCTCGGCATTGATTGAATAAATCTTTCTACTTCTGTTCAGTAAACACGAGGTGTTACTTAATTTCTTTATTTACGTACAAGCTGACGTTTCGGAGGATTTCGCCTTCCTCAGAGCCTGGAAAGGTCAAGTTGACTACAATCTACACGGCCAAACACCTCCATAAGCAACTAGAGAAAATGCTGAACCAAAATTTCAATCACATTGAACACAGTCTTTGCACACTCACCGCTTTCTATGAGTCTTCCACCAAATATGTCACGTGGAGACCAACCGCACAGAGTTCACATGGAATTGCATTGTGCTATTTCATCAAAATAACAGGCTTATATACTACCCATCATCACGAGTGATAATAAGGCATTCCTCCAGAGGTCCATTTTCGGATTCTTGGAATTAATTCAGAATGCCTTTAGAGTTTCGCGCGTTTGTGTTCTCGATTCTTGCGCGAAGATCGTAACCCCTACTTCAAAATCTTCTCCGTTATGTCTCTGCATCCTATGTGTGCCTAAGTGGAGGATTTGGTTTACGTTTGCCGACTAGGTGCTCTTTTATGCGGACGTAGAGTGGTCTAACGTTTCGCCAACTTATTCGTCCTCGCACGCTTTACAGTAGATCAGATAGACTGTACGCGAACTCATGCAATCAGCGTCTCTACCATTAGGGCAAATTATTCAATTTTCCGTTGCACATAGATGGTCGTATAGGCGGTTACAAACTAGCTGGCGTCTTAGATTACTCGGTGGCATTTCGATTATCGTTACCGAATTCTCTAGACAGGTAATTCTTAAACAGCGTCTTATAGCTGCACTTACTTCATTAGAAATGAAGGGCAGTATAAACGGGACTTTATTGTCGCTAGAGTTATCGTTGTGGTACCTGTGGTTTTTTCTACACCTATCTCGAGCTACGGTTTCGTAGCCATTAAAAATGGTTATTTGTCGCGCCAAGTTCCTGGACTCCTCTCTCTGCTCTCTTACCGCGCACACGTTGGTTGCTGTTCGAAACATGTTTCTTACAAGCGCTCTTTTCGTGTGAGAGGGGTGAGAGGAGAGGTAATGAACCAAGATGTTTTTACTACTTGACTTTCGATACCGTTTCGTAATTTCGCCGTTTTCTGACAGGTTAATTTGCACGTTCAGAAATGGAAACCAGTTTTCTTTTGGATTCTCTCGGGTGAATTTAATATACTCCCACTGCTCGTTTAACAACTCGAAACATCTGTCAATTTTATTTTCATCTGTTCAACCAGTACCAGCATTTCCTCAACCGTTGTTTAGGCTAGAATACCCAAATGTTCCTGGATCGTCTACGCAACGTGCGGTCCAACAGCGCGTACGTGGTGGAGTCCTTCGACATCACTGCCCTGTATACAAACGTGTCGAATGACTCCGCTAAGCAAGCCATCGGCAAGCTCCTTATACAACACGAAGGAGCCATAAACATGTACGGCATCTCGATTCAGTAGTTGATGACACTCTTAAAAGAATGCTTGAGCTGCTCAATCTTCAGATGGTCCCGGAGGTATTACGCACAAATGGGAGGGCTGGCAATGGGACAGCGACTGGCACCAATCCTTGCTATTGCATTCATGTCTCAGGTGGAAGCGCCAGTAATCGACCTCGGTGCGTTACTCTACTATAGATACATAGATGACTGCTTGGTCATTTGTTCAACACAAGAAGAAATTAACAGACGTTTCCAGTTGTTGAACGAACAGTCAGAGTATAATAAATTCACCCGAGAGAAACCAAAAGAAAACTGGTTTCCATTTCTGAACGTGCAAATTACCCTGTCAGAAAACGGCGAAATTACGAAACGGTATCGAAAGCCAAGTAGTAAAAACATCTTGGTTCATTACCTCTCCTCTCACCCCTCTCACACGAAAAGAGCGCTTGTAAGGAACATGTTTCGAACAGCAACCAACGTGTGCACAGGGAGACAACAGAGAGAGGAGTCCCGGAACTTGGCGCGGCAAATAGCCATTTTTGATGGCTACGAGACCGTAGCTCCAGATAGGTGTAGAGGAAACCACAGGTACCCCAACGATAACTCTAGCGACAATAAAGTCCCGTTTATACTGCCCTTCATTTCGAATGAAGTAAGTGCAGCTATAAGACGCTGTTTAAGAATTGCTGGTCTAGAGAATTTGGTAACGATAACTGAAATGCCACCGAGTAATCTAAGACGCCAGCAAGTTTGTAACCGCCTATACGACCGTCTATGTGAAACGGAAAATTGAATAATTTGCCCTAATGGTAGAGACGGTGATTGCATGAGTTCGGGTACAGTTTATCTGATCTCCTGTAAGGCGCGTGGAGACGATTACATTGGTGAAATGGGTAGACCACTCAACGTCCGTATAAAAGAACACCTAGTCGGCAAACGTAAACCAAATACTCCACTAGGCACACGTAGGACACAGAGACATAACGGGAGAGGATTTTGAAGTAGGGGTTACGATCCTCGCGCAAGAATCGAAAACATGAGCCTGTAAAAGAGTTTTACTCTTGAAGCGTTGGTCTCCACGTGACATACTCAGTGGAAGCCGCATAGAAAGCGGTGAGTGTGCAAAGCTTTGTTCAATGTGATTGCAATCTTGGCTTAGCGTTTTCTCTGTTTGGTTATGGAGATGTTTGGCTGTGTAGATTACAGTCAACTTGACCTTTCCAGGTTCTGGGGAAGGCGAAATCCGCCGAAATGTCAGCTTGTACGTAAATAAAGGAATAAAATAACACCTCGTGTTTGCTGAACAGAAGTAGAAAGATTCCTAACTATTATTATTACCACTTTCCACTAAGATATAATTTCCTTTAACCAAACGAGTTTTAACGCCAAACCTCTTTCCTTTTATTTATTACTCCCTTTCGTCGTAAGAAGACGTTCAAAGAAATTCCTCACGAATATAACATATTACAAGAAAAGTGGGGAGGAAAATGAACAAGACGAGTACTAAATGAGAGAAAAGAAGAAAAGGCCTAGAAAATGAAATGATGGTATGGATGAAACGACATCGACGCTGAATAAGAAAGAAGTAAAGCAAATGAAAAATTCCCAACATAGTTACTAGTAAGGGCGCTTGTGGAGCAGTGGTCGGAGGTGTCCTGCAACACACACGTGGAATCGACCCCCGCGCCCATGGCCCACTAAGCCTTCCATCCCTCCGGGTTCAGCAAATTGGTACCAGACTTATCTGGGAGGATAGCAGCACTAGCTCGATACAACGGTAGGCCACCGAGAGTCATTGTAAAGACCAGATATGCATCCAATCGTGTCCAAACGATGCTTAATAAAGTCCAATGCATGGCGCATCCGTCAGGGATTGATCAACGCCGGCACTTTTAGAGTTTTTATAATTACTACTCATTCCGAAAATATTGGAATCACCCGTCCCTCCCTCACTGGCTCACTACCTTATAACAGTCCGTTTAAATCGAGGAAACCGGTTCCTTCACGAACCATATTTCTATTGCAAGTTTTCAGTATTTTCTTTCTAGCAAAGCCTTACTCTACAATGAGGATGATGCATATTCCAATATATGGACGAAAATGCGTAGGTTTCAAGTGCCTATTTACTTAACGTACTGATGACGGAGTAAATTTGGTTGTTACAGGTGGTACGATTCCTTTTTATACATGATCCGCCATCACATCTACTGTGCAGATCCCAACACTTCATCGATTCGATTCTTCTTCCTGGCATTCATCCCCCACACAGGTCTTCGAACATTTCGCGTGTGATTTCGGCTGCTGTGCTGGTCGAGTCGACTTTCCTTGTAATCTTGGAAATAGCCGAGGTAAGGCGTCCCAATGTGGATTGGGGACAGCGTTGGAAGACTGTCGAACTAGCGCGTTTGCTTCCTGCTTAACAGCATCACTAACCATTGCGCTACCACTTATTAAGAAATGCGGAAACCTAACAGTCTCCAGATAACTGATTAGTAGCAACGATCTTAATCTAATAATGAGTCCATAGAATCCAACTTAGCTTAAATTTGCGAGTATAAATAATGAAATGGGCACTTTAAAAACGTATTGCCAACTATGGGAGCACTAGACTCTCCCAACACTGCTACTGCAGCTCTTAAATGTGAGTGAGAACTATACCGTTTCCCAAATAACTTTCAGATCGGTTAGTGTTAGACAACAAAACAAGAAAGTAATTACGTAATTCTTAAGACAAAACAAGGCGATTTACTACGGATCCGTTTTAAAACGGCTTCAACTAGGACTTAATACTTAGAGAATACGAAGGTTCAAAACCGACCAACATTTACGATATCGTGACGAAAAACCTTTACTCGCTTTTATTATTTCAAAACAGAAGTTTGAACAATAACGAATGTTAGAAACGATGACTAATCCCGTCAACGTTATCAGTCCCCGTCAAATTTCTCGCAGAGAATCCTGATCCTCGTCTGGTTTATCGTTGAGTTCGATTCGCCTAATCTCTGTTGCACTAGGAGCAGAAGCTTTCTAAATAAACAATTAGCAATCATAAAAATTGAATACTAACTGCATGTGCTTAACAACAGTATCTGGAGAAAAGAAAATCCTTTTGTCTCACGACGTCTTATTCAACAAGTGTTCGTTCGATAGTACCTCTGGAACGGACTGGTTTGACTGTCCGCTTGCTTCCATCGCTTTCCTCTCAGCCTCCATTTTTTGCACGTATGTAAATTCGTTAGCGTAGTGCTAAAGAATACGATGTCCTTCCTCTGCATAACATTCGACTCAATCGAACTGCTAACCCATCTGATCGTTGCTCGCACAAATCTAATGCATTAATTCAAACTTTATTTACGATTATGGAAATTATATATGTATTACACATAAGGATGTAGACACGTAGGCAAATAAGATAGCATTTGCATTTAGAGAACAAATCCAGTACGTAATGGAGTATTTCCTGCCCACAAGATTGTCGATGTTCCAGAAACGCCTTTCGTAACCAGTGTTCCATTCATGGTCCTTCTTGTACTGCTTTGAGAATTTGAAATTCGTATGCAGTCTTCATTGGATGACCATGTACAAGTAATGCATCGGTAACCTTGATGTCGTGTCAACACTTACTCCGACCACCTTAGAGGGAGAATAGAGAACAACTTGTGCAGAAATCGAGATGTCCTTTGAATAACCATCTTCATTGTGGATAAGGACAAACGGTTGCAAATCTAACGCAACCGTTTCATTAATAGAATAATTTCAACCGCTGGTCCATGCTGAGAAAGAACTGCGTTCTTCGAACTCAGGCACGATGGACGACGAAGTAAACACCGCTTAACATGCTTAGATGGTGGGCTACTATATGTTATTCTTATCACAGCGCTTCCATCAATCGTCTCCCTAACTAGCGCTCACGAACGCGATCAAGGTCGTATTTGGCTTCGTCTGGAAGACACTACTGTCGTCTCTCATTAATATGTCGAGTGCTGGTTGGACGTGAATTTCACCGGGCATCTGAGACAGTTGTGCTAAAGCTTTCTCAGCTCATAACCACGAGCTTTCTCCAGCCCTTATGCATTGTTGGCGGTGGGAGGTCTTTTCGCTTGCGACTCAGGTTCTTCCAAACCAGTAGCGATACCTATGATGGCAACCTGTACTATGATTAGACAACCGGTCGCTAGAGGATAATGAGAGAAATCGAATCCCGCTTGATATATTCAGCTTTCAAATATTGTGATATCTAATTAAACATACTTCACTATAGCTGAGAGACGTGCGAAACAAAGGACCCGCATGGTGTGGTGGTGAACGCGTTACTCCCCGGAAAGGATAATAGCGCGTTCGTTCCCCACCATAGACACCTGCGGTCCAGAGTTTTGCAAATATCTCAGCAACATTGTGGTTGTATTTCGCTTAGTAACCTGCCATGAAAATTATAGAAGGCAGAAAACAAAACGTTAAAACATTGTGATTTCAACTACAGCCATAGCTTAACTGGGTTCTATGCCGATTTGCGCTCCCCAGATCAACCCCGCTGACGGGTGATTGCTGTGGCAAAAAAGATCGATAGAAATAGCTGAGAGACGTGCGAAACAAAGGACCCGCATGGTGTGGTGGTGAACGCGTTACTCCCCGGAAAGGATAATAGCGCGTTCGTTCCCCACCATAGACACCTGCGGTCCAGAGTTTTGCAAATATCTCAGCAACATTGTGGTTGTATTTCGCTTAGTAACCTGCCATGAAAATTATAGAAGGCAGAAAACAAAACGTTAAAACATACTTCACTATTTCAAGAACGTCCGTTTTGACAATTCTGAGTGCATATAAAGTCTTAGACTAAGCCATACTTCGTGTTTCGCACAGAATGTGCCAAACACTTCAACGCTGTGTTGCATCAGTAACAGGTTTTTTTTTTGCATATTCATAATCACTCATAATGATTTCAAAAAAAGCGTTGTATACGTACCGCATCCCGAAGTGTTCGGAATTTGTCCATCTCGGCAGTGTCCTTATTTTGGGTCCCAGGACATGGAGTAGGAGGTTCTGGCTATAAAACCACAAAATTAAGGTTAGCGACTCGACCTTACAGAATACTTCATGAGTGAAAAAACCAACAAAAAGTATACCTCAAAAAGATGACCCATTGTCCAGGCACGAGGTTGGCACGTCTCAAGGATATTCATTTCGTCGAAAAGAGTACGGACTTTTCGGGATAAGTACAACCCAAAGAGTTTATTCCACTTAAAGGATGATAGCTAAAACCAGTATCTGACCTAGACCATAAAACTGAAATTGTAGTATAAAGTTCCACGAACATGGTAGGAAATTATTATGTAGGTAATGGTCAACCATGATAGTGGATTATACAACGGTACTCGCTGCCGTACCAATCCAGCAAGTAGCAGCTGGACCACAGCGAAGGTGCAGGCGACACCCAATGTGGCATGGAACCTCACGCTAAAAACAGGAAAGATTGCAAGGTTTAAGAACAAACCGTGAAAGAGTGGAACATAAGCAGCAATACAAATTTGAATAATACGAAATAAAGAGCAGTACTACATTTTGGGACCACTTCCGTAGAATAGGAAATGAACAAATCTTTAGCTGTACGAGCTGAGGCAGATCTATAATACAAACGATCGTGTCCTCTGCTGTCTTCAGAATTCGGCTATTATCGGGCAACACCGTATGCTATAGATATGCAGCAAAAACAAATATCTTACAAATAACATACTCCGGTGTAGAAGACACCATCTTGCAGTTAGCAGCATTGAGTAATCAACATCTACGACCGCAACCAACAGACGTGGTTATCATAAAATGTTTTATTGTGTGCTTAACGAATAACAACAGCACTGTCAAACATGAAAACATAAAACATTTCTAATTAAGATCGAAGTGAGAAAAGCAATGGGCAGTAACAGAGAGATATATAAGCCAATTTTGGTCAAGTAAGAGGAAAGAACAACAAAAAGCAAAGAAACTAGACCTTACATATAGAACATTTTAGCACGAAAGGAAAACAGAACAAATAATACGATTATTTTATTGTGAAATTTATTCGAATTAACTCATATCTATTGAGGCGCCTCCAAGAATGCAACCTTAACTTGGAGATAAGCTCTCAATTTCAGCCACAAAAGACAAATCTCAAAGACTTATTCCATGAGTATCTTTATAAAATGACGCGTGCTTAGAGAAGAAATCCCTAATAAGAGGATCAACGGCATCTCGCTCTAACCGAAATTTCAGTATGGAAATCAAAGTCTGAAAAAAGAATGTATGAGTAATTTTGTGTGGCATATATACGCAACTTCAACTCCAAAAATGGACATTATTTGAACAAATTTTGGGTGCCGGGAACGCAGTTGTCAGAGATCCTATACAGCACAGGCATGGTCCCTAGTTTGGCAGTACTTCGAGTCAACCCCTCACTATTCCGGGTCAACAGATTGGTACCAAAATTGTCTGGGAAACGCTTTTACTTCCCACGAATCTCGCTTATCTGTGAGATTCATAAAGTCCGGTAATCTTAAGAAATCGCGAAAAAAGGCATTCGTACACACATAAAGGAAAGTTGATCAATGAAAGGAAAGGTCATCTTAGCAGAGCAACTTTTCAACGGCCTATGCTTTTGGGGCTTACAAAAATACCTTTTGTCATGTAAAACCTAAGAAAGTGAAATAAGATTGCGCCTCTAGAAATAACTCAGGAGGAAAGATGAATAACCGTAAAAACTTTTAATGGACGAAATTGAAATAAGTTTTCATTGTCTGTTCCGTATCACTGAGAACGTGTAACATGTGAAGAATTATTCTCTTCAAATCGCCTTTGCTTATAACTTCTTTTTCACCATGTATTGAACAATTTAAGATAATATGCTCACCTTAACTGTTCCCGTCTCCACTGTTTCTCGCAGATATAACGCTACCATTCTACTAATACGGAATGTGTCATTTTGGAAATTATGAGACAACCAGTTACCATTATCACACAGCCTATTGAGCCTATCGGACAGTAACATCAGAAATTCAGTTTCGTCGCTGCTAGTCACATCAACAGGTACCACCAAAGCCCATATCTGAAAACGGTTTCAACACGCTAAACCATCTCAAAGTGGATATGTTGATTGGTTTCGTAGCGGTGTAGTAAATAGTATCTCGCTTGCTCGCCTTGAAGTTTTTGCCACACGGAACTTTTATCGCGCGCTCGCTGGCTCCAAACTTGGGCGGCTAAACCTTTGTACACATAATATTCACACGATACGCAACGAGTCAAAAATAAAGCAGATTTCATTGCACCTTGGTTAAGTGAACAGTAGTACTATACATAGCAAAGTGCACTAACAATCATGTGGGGCATTACGTAAGAGATTTATGAGGGTACGAAAGTATAGATAAAAATACCACTTATGTAAGAACATTAGTACAAGTAGAACAGCGTAAATGCCCACAGGACCACAATGCAAAAATGACACAGTGTTGAAGGGGTTCTACAAGCGACGAGAAAGGAGATTCTGCTGGAGTGATAATGTAACGGACACGAGAGTTCACACCTCACCCAAAAACAAAAGATATCGATGAATCAGGAAGCAGCTGAATTGTAAGTAAATGGATTGGATAGGCAATGGTGAATTTCATAGAGTACTTATTAAGAGTGGAAGTGTTTGACAAAGTTGCTAGACTAACAACGAAATGTGACTGCATGCGGATAGATGAAAACTTTAACATATACGTAATGCAAAAGCGTGAGACTATACTTAACAGTATTCTAGTCTAGCTAAATCGAATCACGGATCTCCCTCATAGAGGGATCTCATGCCGGTTAGTTGCGAGGCATATCCCCGCGTGCCGGATAGAGGGTGAATCGCGGACCAAAAGCGACCTTTGCTTCCCTGAGACGCAGGTGGAACCAGGGGATGGACTACTTGTTTCTGATGTGCCGATTTGGCTCATAACCTCTATATTTACGAAGGCGTATTCATACACGTGAGTGGGTGCTTTCTCGTTCAAAAGGATTGTATTTTACGGGTTAATTCGGCCAAAAGCCTACAATCACATAACAGGAAGGCATATGGAAGGCGGTTAGGAGTATAAGCTCTCCGCCTACTGTAAGAGAGAATGGAAAGCTGTAGGTGAGTACAGACAACCCGACGATGAGCTCATCAACCTAGACGTGGGTAGCAAAAGCTAAACAGTATTCGATAGCACGAGTGAGAGGTTGACAAAATCTCAGAGCCATTATAAGCTGCCTAAATCGCAAAGGGTTAAGGTAACGACATATACTACAATGCGTGCATGTATCTGAGTCCTAGATAGAAGACTTGATCACGCAGACGAGAAGGATAGGATTACAACGTCATCGAGCTGTCCGAGAGGAGACGCTATCCATTCAATTCCAGTGAAGAAATGTTCACCGGAACATGCGAAAGTGGAGAAGTCAGCGGTGTGGGTATTCTCGAGTTTGGTAATGAACATCAATTCATTCGAACAAATAACAACCCGAATCGGACGTCTACGCTTGATGATAAGTAGACCAATACCGGCTTTGACAATCGTCATCGTTTGCTCACCGACATCAAGCTACGACGAAGATGAAGTCGAAATGCGCCGTGTAGGCTTGCAGAAGTTCTGCAAAGAATATCATACATTCTTCAAGGTCATAATTGGAGAAGTTAAAGTTAAAACTGGGTCCAGAAGAACGTCACAATGGGACCCACGGACTAGAATGGAACGAGCAGGGTGAGCGGCCGTGAGTTTATCACGACGACAAAGACCATGGTGACTCGCGGTTTCAGAAGCACCATTCTGAATGGTGAACGTGGGAGTATCCCGTTGGAGAGTACCATAACGAAATAGACCACATAATTGCAAATCAAAGTTTTGTCTCACTGATGACGCTGCTGTTCCAAAATTCTACACGAGATCAGACCACCGCCTCCTTCGTGCTAGATTCTATTTGTCGCGGAAAGGAGAAAAAGTCGCTAAAATCAAAAACCAAAGCTCCAGAATCACCATAAACTGGGACTTATTCAATTTACTAGTCGGCTGTTGGAAAGATGCCGTTGTCGATAAAATCGACGAAGAATACGATTGGTTCATTCGACATTTTCACGTTAGCGCTATGTAAGCTGAGAGTTCGAAAGTCACCAAGAGACGTCTGTCTCCAGAAACACTCGAGCTAATACGCCAGCGTAGAATCGCGCGAGCTACAGGCAACCGCGAACTAACGTCCGAACTTGCAAAACAATGCAGACAAGCGATAAAAGAAGATCTTAAAGAGAGAAGAGCAGCACCCACCGAAGCTTCGCCAATTAAAAAACCAAGATTATTGCACTAAGACGACCAAACGGAGCAGTTACATCGTCCAGAAAGACAGTGGAGAAAAACATTCACGACTACTATTCAGATCTCTTCAGTAGCCACGTCCTCCTTCCCTCATATGAAATCAAGGAAGATGGATATGTCGTACCACCGGTTCTTCGTTCCGAAATCCGACATGTCATTTCGTCGGTGAAAAATCGAACAACATCATGTCCAGACAGGATGAGGTTTGAACACCTGAACAGCCTTCCGCTAGTACTCATAAACACGCTGGCTTGGCTCTTTACATGTTATCTATCTGAATTCAAGGTCCCTACTCAATAGGAGACCAGCAAGGCCGTGCTATTGTTCAAAAAGGGTGATCTCCACGATATCAGCAACTATCGCCTAATCTACTTGCAGTCTGTCGTCTACAAACTTTTTACTCGAGTCGTCCTAAACAGGACTGACAAGAACAATGGATGAAGGACAGCCATGAGAGCAATAAGGGTTTCGAAAAGGATTCAGTACGATGGACCACATTCACACGATAACAAGACTCACTGAACTATCACGAGAGTACAAGAGACCACTCTGTTTCACTTTCAAGTCCTTGATAGTCAAGAAGTCCCTATCCAGTACATAAAAATTCTTTGTGAGCTGTACAAAAATTTTACAATCAAGATATCACCATTCTACAACGATTTTAAAACATCGTCGTCAAAAGAGGAGTTAGGCAAAGCGATACCATCTCGCCAAAATTATATACCGCCACCCTCCAGCACGTCATGCGAACAGTGGAATGGGATAACAACATTTGTCAGGCAGATAGTGAAAAATCGATGGCTAATTTGACGGACAAACTGAATTCAGTCCAAATGATATTTTTTAGGATTATATTCAACATCATCCATTAAATAGTGGTCGAAGGATATCCATGTCAGGAAGCTTCGTTCCGTAAAAGAATGAGTGGCCTTAAGCACACCCACAAGAATCGGAATAATAGGGGTAAAATAGGCTACTACTGATCTCATCTATCAATAATTAAATTTTGGCAAAGTTATGAAGAAAAAAGGCTCTGCCTGGAAACTTTCAGCATGTACGAAGTTTTAACTCAATAGACACGCACTCCTGCAATCATCGCCATTTTAACAAAAACTTCAATATTAGAATAAAACTAGTTCTAAAACGTCATTAACACCAATACCGGCTAAATATGAGATAGTCAGATAGTTTCACAGTTAACTAAATGACAGTACCACCAGGGTGACAGGCTAGAGCATAGAAACGACAGATTTCGTAGATTTCACTCGAGAACGTTTGGAATAAAATAAAGAAGAAAGAAGAACAACTTCGACCTCTTCCCATATTTTATAATTTCTACTATGTTTCAGTTGAAGTCAATGAGTCAATGTGTGAGCAGGATGAAGAAGCGTCAGCGCCATTCAACGTCCTGTCAGTGCGCGATATTATGTTCTAGTTAGCCATTAAAAAGGAATAAACAAAAAGGTGTCGAGTCATGACCAGCGCCAGTTGCTGACAAACAACATGGGTTCATATAAAATTCAAGTACAATGACTGAAGACAATGGACAAATGGACCCATGGGATGGTCGTCTCTCCTTCGACGATACTGAATACAGGGTGTGACGGTTCGTTGTGTAACTCTAGGAACAAAAACATGTAGCATTACATGCGCCTTCTAGTTGACTTTCTTGGTAACAGGCGAGTGCACAGGTAAAAATGATTGGGTGAAAATAAATGCATTCCGAATTTCTTCTATCACATTTGAAATTCAAAAGAGTGCGTTCGTTCGAGATTTTAACATAATTGTTTGGAAGTTACCGAACTATTCAGTTTTCTATGCTTCATCAAATGATCAGTGTTGAACACTTACCGGAAGCGGAATATCTTCCTCCGAAGGCATTGTCACTGCACATGCTAATGTATCACGATCGCAAGCAGGCAGACACTCAAGAGACGCTGTAAGCGCTGCGTGCATTGAATCAAATTCATACGACGTTGTTGCTGCCACTGATGACAGTCCACGTTCAGCCAAACGTCGACAGAACATTAATAAACTGACGAAACAAATATAAGTAAGTACAATAGAAGACGGAAACACTTATCAACCGCACCGATCTGTGCGACCTGTAGCCAGCTTTTTAAGGATACCAAGCAAAGCAACATTCCCACTAGAAACAGAAAATGCTGAAGAAAACGCGGTATGGGTCTGAAATTAATGTTTTCAGGTGTTTGTCATACAGGTGCATTGTGCAATAAACAAAAGAAAAACTATATTTCGAAAAAAGAAAGCTAGTTCTAGAGACTGACACAAGAATCATTTTCCTGAAGGTTTGGTTCGTTAACTGAGAATAATTCAGTGGATTCAGCAATTGTAAGACCAGGAACAGGAATTATATCCACAGAGCATGAAGCACTGGCGAACAAACTTGCGTTACGAGTGGTTGCCAGTACACGAAGCTGGAAAAATGACAAAGCATAGGACAGAACAAAGGTGGTAAGGTAGGGCTGGAAACAACTCCATACCCCTAGCTGATTAGCCCACATAACCGTCTCCTTCTGGACAATATCATCTAATACGATGATGACATTAGGTCTATCGATAAGTGCTTCTTGGATCTTTAAGGATAAAATGCACTAGATTGCTGATCAAAAGTGGTGAATAACAATATCAAGACTTTCAAAGTTTTACATGTTTGCGGAGATACACAGAAGAAATATCTTCAAGTTTTGGAGGGTCGATGGCGAAATCATCCCTGAAATAAAAGAACACAACGCATTTCTCCGAAAGTGCCAATTCAGCATCCAAGAAAGTCACGGATGAACAGTCCTACCATAACATGAGTAGGAGATCAGCAAACAAATATCGAGCTTGGTTCGGTTCTTTGCTTGAATCCCTAAGCCAAATCACCGAATCGAAGCAACTAAAATACGGTCACTACAGCTGATTTTATAAGTATGTCGACAGTGATACTTACAAAGCACTAACTTTCCTAAAAGGTCAGGAACCACCGCGAGGACGGTGGCCGCCAGTGAAGACTTCCCACATCCGGCGATGCCGTGTAGTACAACGAAAAACGAGTCTAAGATAACGACTCAATCAAACTCGAAACTAATTCTCATTAACACTTCTATACTGTAAGAAAAATCCATTAGCTAAATTGCCTGTTGTGCATGGTTCAAGTTTTCTTCCAGCTTAAACATGGTTAAATCTCACAAGGACTTCAAAACAAGGTTAGATTTCTCGTAGTGAACTGAACATTTTTTTGTCGATTTATAGATTTACCCGCTACATAAACGGCTCTTTATTTCAAACACCGACGTCCGTTCTTCCACTTCCCTTCAATTCTGTAATCGAAAAGTCCAAAGCGAAATTTGAGATTTAATCTAAGACGCTATCAACATGAGGATGACCAACTGTAAAATTCTGCACGAGTTGAAACCTAACCACTGAGAATCAAATGGGTATGCTAACCTGTACAATGAACGCCTCAGAAAATGGCATTTATCAATGTTTCATGTAAATAATACCACTTTACATCATTGGATTCCTCTCCATAATATGAATGCGTTAGCACTACGTGTAGAGAACCAGAATGAAGGAATACTTCAGATTAACAGATGTTCAGAAAAGCAAACCGCCCAACGGTTTACTGCATCATCCTTGCTGGGAGGTGTTCCTGGGTGTCGGTCTGCGGTGTACAGCGGGAAGATTCGTCCCCCCGGCAGAGTCTCCCAAGCTGAGAAGGAGTCCAGCGTTTCCATCAGGAAGCCTAGCTAAGAGTATACCAATACCAGGATCCACCACCATCCTAGTATTAAAGTCGCAGGGTGGCAAATTTCCCTCTGATCCACAAGAACTGCGACTACTTGTGGTGGTGGACTTGGGGCAGACTTTGGCCAGGCTGAACTCGAAATTCCACGAAGGCATAATGGCTTAATCGAACAATGGAGGTTATGCTGGAGCCCCCACAACCAATGAAGATGAGCCATCCAAGTATATCTATGGGGTTCTGAGCGACTTCCTCACCTCCCCACATTCCGTACGATAAATGTATAAACCAGATATGCATTCAACTGTCTCTAACGATGTTTAATAAAGTCGAATGCATGGCGCATCTCTCAGGGATTGATAAACGCCGACAGCTTTATCCTCTATCCATTGTGTATTAGTACAATGGATCTGTTGCAAAAACAATAGCCTCCACGAAGAGAAAAAAATGCTTTGTGATAACATATCACACAGATTCCTCTAATTTTGTTCGCTTTGAAGCTCGTATTTCGAACGCGGAAGAAATTGAACAAGCTGGGTTTTCTCTCTCAGTGCATAATAGTGTTCCCCTAGGTAAAGCTCTTTTCAAAACTTATGCGCCTACACTTGAACCTTTAAAAACTTTTCGTGCCCAATTTTTCGAAGACTAAAAGCATTTGGGTTAGCGAGGCCTTTTAATAATAATTATAAATGCGCTTATGTCGACACGACAAAGTTTCTACTAGAAACCTCTTCAGTCTTCTAGCATACTTAACACTTGAACGGCCCGTCCTCACTGGCTGTGTGGGCCCCTGCATAATCTCTATTTATCGGAGATTTGCTAGTTAAGCCATTGTAGTTCCCTGGAATCCCGAGATCAGCTTGGCCAAAGTATGCACCAGGTCTTCACCATTACGGGCAGTCGCAGCCCTTGTGGATCAGAGGGAGATTTGCCACGAGACTTTGATACCAGGAAGGTGGCAGATCCTGGTATTGGTTTACTCTTAGCTAGGCCTGATGGAAACGCCGGACTCGCTCTCAGCTTGGGAGACCCTGCCGGGGGGGCGGATCCTCCCGCTGTACATCGCAGTCAGGCACCCAGGAACACCTCCCAGCCACAATGAAGCCGTAAACCGTTGGGAGGCCAAACACAAGTTATTAAAAAACCATTTCTTCGGAAGTAAACACGAAATCATGTATTCCACACTATATCTCACAATATAAAGTCACATATGTCTAGCTGAATGGTTTGTCTCGTTCTTCAACAACTGATTGCTGCTTTATTACTAAGTTAAATTTGTCATGAAAACATTCAAGAACATGTGTTAGATGTAGTTACGAACCTTAAGGAGTTCGAAATTGTGGAGAAATCTGGAGGATTAGCCTACTTTCTCTAGCGGCTAAATGCTTAAAAATGGAGCGGGTATGTATGACATGTTAAGGTTTCATATCTACCTAATATTGAAATAACTGAAAATACCTAAATCGGCTCGTTCTCTCAGAACGTTTGCAACATTATTCATCAAACGTTCCCTTCTGACATGTTGCCATACCCTCGGAACGCCGCCAGCAAGAAGTTTACGAAGTCGAAGATGGTGTGGAAAGCAGGGAGTGTTGGGATGATTACACCTGTAAGCTCCGATGTTCGAATTATTACAAAAATTCAGAGATAGTGCACACTCACCCATCCAGGATATGATCCAAATCCCTTCTTAACGACTTTGCGATATGTTCTTGTCCAGCGAACTCGAAATAAGAAATTAACGGTTCACAGTCCCTCGCATATCGTCTATATATTCGCAGCAATTCCCTTAACCTTTCTAATCGAGTGGCCTAAAATTTGGAAAGAAAATTTGTTGGTATTAACTACATGGCAGCTTACGAGTTAGTGGCATTGTTGGTGACATCTTCTCTGGAAATCTTTTCCTAATATTTTCATATTACCGTTAAAACAAATGTTCTAACATTAGTTCTAATATTCTGCCGGAAATTTATTGATCTGCAATATCTGAAATATTTTGAAGGTAGCTAACTACCGAATAACTTACAAATCTTTCCATTAAAAATGGTGGAGTTTAGAAACTAAAAGACATCATCAATGAAAGCGATAACACGATGGCGAGATATTCACCTTGGCCTCAATTTTCTCTGCAAGATGTTCATTGAGAATGCCAGAGCTTTCTAAGAAAATCACAGCATCCTTTGGATCAAAGTCCATCAACATCGTGTCAAACGCTGACGATAACACACGACATTCCGGTTCACTGAGCATCAGGAGGCTGGACGATGCCGTAGTTCACTGCAAAAGCGTGAAAACTACAAATGAAAACTACAAAAGTAATAGAAATGATGATTTGAAAAACGGCGTAGGACACATTATTTGAACACAATGAACTCGTCTATCAAGATATAAAATTCATTTTGGACGAATGCGAACAGTTATAACAAAAATATTAAAGATTTCGGTGTTCAACAATGCTTGGGGGATGCGTCATACATTCTACTTCATTAAGCATCGTTTGGAGATGATTGAATGCATATATGGCTTAAACAATGACTTGCGATATCCACTGAAGTATCGAGTCGGTGCCGCTATCCTCCCAGACACGTTTAGTATCAATATGCCGATCCCAGTGGGATGGAAGACTTGGCGCTCCTGAGTGCCGGATCGAATCCAGTTGTGTTGTAGGGCGCCTCTAACCACTGCGCCACAGCTACCTCTGCCAAGAATAAGTATCTAAAGATCCGTGGACATCAAAAAATGCACATCCAAGCCTCCCTCCAGTACGGTTAACACAGCGGTTACGATGATTTATGACACAATAATTCAGCATTTCTTCAAGATGATTCCAATTCTCACCGCAATAAATACTTCGCAAGCCTTAACCCTAATGTCCTTAGCACTACGACCACAGTATGGCCTACATATGGGTCACTATAATGCAGATCTTAAGACATACGCCTCACAAATGCGCTCGGCCTTTCGATGGTTTTTTCTGCATAAATGCTCTTCGAGTTCTTCCCTATCTATGGCTTCCCAACTACGAATGCTATAATGTTCGTAGTCAAGATAACTATTTTTGCATATCAACATTTACAGCAGGCAAGATACGACGACAAATTGCCCTTACGTTAGGGTTTAAGTAAGCCAACTGCTCATAAAGTGCATTAGAATTGGAAATATTTCGAAACACTGTACCTTTCGAAATAATTATGAGATGACTTTCTCACTCTCGACCACGGAAGAAGATCATGCAGAGACAAAGACTGTCTATATGCGCCCGAACCATCATCCAAATCCTAGCATGTTCACGACGGTTCCAAAAGAGGAAATGGAATGGGGATTGTGCTGGCGCCTTCATCCTGGGTCACCAAGAGCACTTACGCATTGCGAAAAAGAAATTAACTTAACTAATTAACTAAAAATTAATGTCACTTGTTTATTATAATATTAGGAATGTTCGTCACATGCGCAAAAGTCAACGGCGCTTCAGATTTAACTCTTGTCATAACTTCGCGCGCAAAAGGAATTCTTACAAACCTCCCCTTCTAACTCCAGTAATACCTCAATAACAGCGTCATAAGAGAACGCATCTGAAAGTGGGGTTAAATTCATCTCTGTCCTTGTTTTTTGTCATGTATTGGGCTGTTCTATACCCAGTCCCATTGACATACTTGGATACATGGATGGCCTGCACTGGTTGTGCGGAGTCCAGCATAATTTCCATCTTTTTCGGAGTTTTGCTAGTTTAATCAATGTGGTTTCTTGGAATCCTGAGGTCAGCCTAGCTCAAGTCTGCCCCCGGTCGTCACCACCATAGGCAATCGCCGCCCTTGTGGATCAGAGGGAGATTTGCCACCATGCAACTAGTTTGGTACCAGGACGGTGGTGGATCCTAGTACTGATTTACTATTAACTGGACTTTCTAACGGAAACGTCGGTCTCCTTCTCAGCTTGGGAGAGTCTGCCGAGGGGGAGTAATCCTCCCACTGTACACCACAGCCCGACACCCAGGAATAACTCCCAGCCACAACAAGGCGGTAACCGTTGAGAAGGTTCCATAGACACACTTTGTGAAAGTGTACTTAGACTATATTTCAAAATCGACTTTCCTTTAACCTCGGTATTACTAATCAACATGTATTCTTTCAATAGACGCAACGTTAGCCGAATAAAACTGTTTATCAACCTCGTGTAAGATTATCAAAGAAAGAATACGTGTACTTAGATCGTCAAAGTAGGCTTAGATTCCTGATTCACCGTCATTCTACACGCTGGGATAAAACGAAAGTAGCGGATTGTCGTGTAGATGACAAAAGTAAGATATTTAATAATATAGAAAATATAGATAAATAGGAAGAAGGAATCACGAAGGGAAGGGAAAAGTGATTTCAATACATTTGTAACCGCGTTAATTTTCTGACAACTACCAATAAATATTTTCCTATTTCACTTGAAGAGTTCAGATAGTTATAAAACCTAGGTTGGCTTTCGCTCTAAAGATATATGAAATCCTTTCAGAATATTACACTTACTCTAAACTCCTTTAAGCCGAATTTAAAAAGAAAATGTTTCAGTGGGAAATGTTCGGACTTTTCAACGCTACTAACAACGGATCATATTAACGCCGTATTCAAAGAATTCATTAAGCCCTGCTAAAACAAATCATCCTCATTCAATCACTTCGGTTGTCAAGATGTGAACATTGACAAAAAAGCGAACGGGAAGCCACTCAAAGGTCAACAAAATCGTGGCATGCCACTAATAATTTCCTGGTGGTGAAGTTAGAAAACTAGTAACTTGCTCAGAAAGATCAACCACCTATATTACCCACCGCCCCGTTTGTGAGCGACTCGAGCTGGCGCCAGTAAATCTTCCATTTTCCTTGTAACGTGCAAGATTAGCCCGGCAGGTTATGCTCGCTTTAGGAACTCGTCAAGCATCACACCTTTCTTCTGTTTTCGTGAAGAATTCTGATCATCGATTTGATGTTCTTCTTACAATACGTTTGGCATCCCAAGGAATCCAATCACTCTTCTGTTCATCGGCTGCCGTTCATACGCATTACGTGCTCGACCCACCCCCTCATCGACAATTTGACATAAAGAAGGCACCCTTGATTTTTGATCATTGACGCATGTCGGAGGTTCGGATCGCTTCCCTCACGTGATACGGGATGCTCCTATCATCGTCCTTTCGACTGCGCGTTCAAAAACGCTGAGTGACCTTCCATCTTGCTCACGCAACGACCAGATTTCTGACGCATACGTTAAGGCATGACGAATCGTGGAGTCGAAAAGTGGATAGAGAGTCGGATGCTTTTTTTCTCCTCATTACATTTTCGATGCCCTTGAAAGCTACCCAGGCCGCTCGTTTCCCCTGCTCGACAACTGGAACTGTCGTTAATCAATGTTTTTCTTCAATAAGCAGACACGAGGTTGTTAATATAGAATTTATTAGAACACAATTGCTGACGTTTCGGCGGTTTCGCCTTCTTCAGAGCCTGGAAAGGTCAAATTGAGATGCGATCTACTCAGCCAAACACTTTCATAACCCTAGCAGATAAAACTTGACAAATCGATTTGAATTCGCATAAGAAACAGCGTCATTCAAACACCTACCGTTTATTTGTTGTAAGTATTTAAGTTAGTTGGTGGATAGCCGCCGCACAGAGTAATACATGGTCGATAACTGACAGCGGCGGCTATCCACCAACTAACTTAAATACTTACAACAAATAAACGGTAGGTGTTTGAATGAAGCTGTTTCTTATGCGAATACAAATCGATTTGTCAAGTTTTATCTGCTGGGGTTATGAAAGTGTTTGGCTGAGTAGATCGCATCTCAATTTGACCTTTCCAGGCTCTGAAGAAGGCGAAACCGCCGAAACGTCAGCAATTGTGTTCTAATAAATTCTATATTAACAACCCCGTGTCTGCTTATTGATGAAAAACATTGAATTATCAATTAATGCCGAGGTTAACAGAAAGTCGGTTTTGGGATTTGCTATGTCGTTAATCATTTTAATTTGCCGACCTAGACAAACGTAATTGGGAATATTTAGATAGGATGGATTGTTCGAAAAAAAGCAAGTTGTTATCATCGGACAGTCACTATTATCAACAACCAGGATTCTTCATAAAACAGCGTCGCAGGGTGAGAATGCTTATTTGAGGAATGCTCTACTGAGGTAGATACGACTAGAAAGGAAGACGAAGACACCACATCGAGAAGACGAATAGCTGTGCACCATCAACTCAGATCAACGATTCAGATCAAGAGAAAGACGATGAAGAAAGAAACCGAATGAAGATTGTTTGTCATCTTTGTGTAAGATTATCAAAAAACATACATATTCGGAGGTATGCATTTCGTTGAACGTGAATGGGGCATACGTAACCAATCCGTTCCTCATAACATCGTTTTTGTGAGATTTAGTCGAAGACCAATCTTTCCACAGGCTTTGTCAAAGTCGCCAAGCATTCGTTCCACTTGGGTAATGCTTGGTGTTATTAAGAACGATGTCATCAGCAAAGCAAAGATTGTGTGATTGCATAAATCGATTTTCACTCCCATATTGTCCCATTTCAATGCTCGCATGACGTTCTCGAGGGTGGAGGTAAATAATTTTAATAACACAGAACCATCTTGTCTAACCTTCCTTTTGACGCCGATGTTAATGTCATTGTTGAATGGTGATATCCTGGTTACGAAATTTTTATAAAGTTCACGAATAATCTTTATATACTGAGCAGGGGCTCCCTGACTCTCTAGGGATTCCATGACTGCTTCCATTTCAACTGAGGCAAAAGTTTCCTTTAAATCGATGAAAGTGAGATAGAGCTGTCTGTTGTACTCTCGCGATAATTCAATGAGTCTTCTTATAGGGTGGGGTGGATGTGGTCCATCGTACTGAATCCTTCACGAAACCTTGCCTGCTCATATGGCTAACCTTCGCCCAGGGTTCTAGCAATTCTGTTTAGGATGGCTTGATCGAAAGGTTTGTAGATGAAAGACAGCAAACAGATAGAGCGATAGTTGCTGATATCGTGGGGGTTACTCTTCCAAAATAACACGGTCTTACTGGTCCTTCGCTGAGTAGGAAGCATGCATTCTAACAGATAACGTGTGAAGAGCTCAGCCAGTGTTTTATCACGACTGGCGAAAGGCTATCCAAATCTTCAGATCTTATCCTCTCTGGACTAGGTGTTTTTTGCTTCTTCACCGACGAAATAGCATGTCGGATTTCGGAGGTGAGAACCAGTGCGACAACATATCCATCCTCCATTATTTCATATGAAGTCATGGGAACGTGGCTATTAAAGAGATCCGAGTAGTAAACGTGAATGGCTTTCTCCATTGCTTTCTGGACGCTGTAACTGTCCCGTCTGGGCGTCGGAGTGCAATCACTCTCGTTTTGCAATTGGCGGAGCTTGAGTGGCCTTTCCGAATGCTTTTCCCAACGTCTGCACCTTCGACCATAACTGCTGCTCTTCTCTATCTAAGCTCTCCTTCTACCACTTATATGTACTGTTTTGCCAATTTGGACGTGAGCTAGCGGTTCCCTTTATCCCATGCGATTCAACGTTGGCGTATCACCTCGACTGTTTCTTGAGACAGACGTCTGTTTGTAACCTTCGAACTCTCAACTTTCATAGCGCTAACGTGAAGATGTTGAATGAGCCGATCGTATTCCTCGTTGATGTTATCGACAACGGCATCTTTCCAACATTCGACTAATGAACTGAATAAATCCTAGTTAATGGTGGCTTTGTGGCTTCGTTTTTTGAATTTAGTGACTTTTCCTCCTTTCCGTGAGAAAAGAAATCTTGAACGAAGGAGGCGATGGTCTGTTCTCGTATAGAAGTTTGTAATAACGAGGCATCCGTTAGGCTGAACCTTCGATTTACTGTGATGTGGTCTATTCCGTTCTGAAACTCTCCAACGGGAGATGTTCATGTCCAGCGTTCAGAGTGGTGCTTCTGGAATTGCGATTCACCTTGAATGGTCTTGGTCGCCATGATAAACTCACAGCCGCCCACCCTGCTCCTTCCATTCTAATCCGTAGGTCTCCATTTGACGTTCTTCAAACATTTTTCTGAGTTCAGTCTTAGTGTCAAAGCCTCAAATGACGACGATAAAGAATGTATGACTTTCTCCGTACCATTCCTCCAAATCCACATAGAGCGCTTCGATTTCGCCTTTGACACAGGTTAATATCGGTTCATAGACGATGCAAATTGTCAGACCCGGTATTAATCGAGATTTGGTTAAAGTAGACGTTCGATTAGGCTTGTTAGTTGTTCGAATGAATCGGTGTTGATAGACAAACTCGTGTTGATGAGAACGGCGACGCCGCCGATTCTTCTACTGCCGCATGTTCGGAGAAATAGTTCTTCTCCAATGTTATAAACGACCTTGAATGGGTGGCCTCTTCTCGTCTCAGCCAGTCCCATGATGGTGTACCTTATCCCTCTTTTCTGCATGATCAAGTCTTCTACCGACGATCAAGATGCAAGTGTGCGTGCATTGAAGGTATAGATCGTTACCTTGGAAAGATTAATATAGATTCCAATGGTAATTCTCCCAACTGATAAGTACTATGAGATGATTTGTTGTTCCTAAGCTGAACTTTTCAAAGACGGCTCTTTTAACTTGAAAGACTAAATCATTTCCGATGTGTAATTTCCATTCAAATTTACGACCAGGGTGAAAATCATGCGAGAGAGATTAAAAGAGTTCAACAAGTATAAAAGCAACCTATGGACCAAATACGAACTATGCTATGAATTTAATGGACGACATCATTTGGTCTTATCGCGTTATTGAAAAAAAAAGCGGAACCGTTCCTAAACGGCAAATATCTAGAAATGCGCGCTGCCGTCGGTGGGTTTAAGTGGAACAAACACCTTACGGCTACCTAGTGAATACAATATTGCATCCATATTTCAAGCATTGAAAGGATAAGGGATAGAGCTCACAGCGTTGATCAATCTCTGAAGGATGCGCCATGCATTCGACCTCATTAAGCAACGTTATAGGCAAAGGCAATGGCTTTTACGACTGACGGTGGATTACCGATGTATCGGGTCAACGCTTCTAACCTCCCAGACAACTCCGCTACCAATTTGCCGACCCGAAGGGATGGAGGGCTTGATGAGCCTGGGGCGCTGGGACCGATCGCATTTGTACTGCAAGGTGTCTCCGACCAATGCGCCACACGTGCCCTATTCTGAGGATAGCCATGAATAGAACCTATTCTCCATCCAAATAGGAATTGGAAAAAAAGCGGCATTTCAATATATCTTGGAGCTAATATCGTTCTCTATGATGAGCCAACATTAGAAGGTTAAATAGAAACTTTACATGCGTTTAGGTACAACCAAAGAGGTTATTCAGGACAATGCCCTTTTTTTGCCTTCACATTTTTCGAGCAAACATTTTTTATTATACAAAAGCACCATCGAATGTTTCACCGATTTCAAATGAGAACTTGCGTGCGTTTTGCTAAAAGACAACGTTACTTCTGTATCAGTAAAAGTTAGGCAATTATTTATAATCAATAATATCTACGATAGAAACTCTGTGCAACAAATTAAAGCAAAATACACGTAATCAATGAGGTCTGAATCACTCTTGAGAACGACTAAGGCGAAGATGGCCTTTGAGGCAATTCTTCGGTTTGTGACTGCGTAAACGGCAAAGGAGGCGCTGCAGGCGCAGGAGGCGGTGGTTCTCCCGACAGTGGTTGAGGAAGTGGTGCAATGACAACTTGTGCCACAGTTTGAGGTGAGCTGCCTCGTGAAGCTGTACCTAACTGACGGCTCTGAGAAAGCAGTTGTCTCTTCACGGATACACCAGCTGCTTAAACATAAATAGATTGCTTTCTAATGTTTAGTAAAAAAAAATTTCATTAAAAGGAACCAAGTTCGTTTGTCATTAGTCATGTGAGACTTTCAGAAAAACGACATACTTTCAGAAAATGGCGAAGGATGTCGAGCTGTAGATGCAGAGGACGAAATAATGGATCCTCCACCTGGCTGACCTCCAGGTTGAAGAGAAATAGACTGTGATGAGCTTGTCGTTGCAACATTACCACTTGGCGCCATGACCACATTCATAATTCGTGCCCCTTGAGATGTGAATCCTCTTCTTAAAAACAGATCTCACTATTAATTTTTGAAACAGTACTCTAAAAACTTACGGCACAGCACGAAGCTGAGGTGATTGTACTGCTCTGGACGGAACCACGACCGCAGTTACCTTAAAAATGGATAAAGTTGCCCTATTTTTCATTTATAGCTTGTATGACAAGAGATCGAACAGACCGGTGATTTCTGTCCAAGTGTTCTTTTCTGCGGAGGAAGACGTTGCGTGGAAACCATTCGAATTTGCTGTTGTGGAACAACGTATGGGCGATCTCCCGATTGAGTAGGTTGTTGAACGAACATACGAGGAGCAGTCGGCTAAGTAGGTACTGACGTTTAAGAATAAGCAAATACTATTTCAACCATTTTATGCAATAACAAAGTGATAAGCGAACTTTCACAAACACACAACAGATCTCTACAAAAACAATAAGTAGGATTCTCTTTTCTTAATGGTTCTCGCTATTCTACGTCAGCATTGAAGGCTGTCAGTATTGTGGAAGAGAATTGAGAAGTATAGGTTAGAATTCCCATAAGAATAGTTACTAATGAGTTCTCCAAAATGTCTTTCTGTATCTAAAACAGAACTGTAATTAAAATATTTGGCAAGTAGCTGCAATTCAAACGAGTTTTTACTGTAGAAGAGAAGGTAAAAACGATTTGAAAAGCAGTCGGTCTCGTTGTCGTGTTACAAATGCGGCACAATTCCTTTGCGGAACATGTTACTTCTAAAAATTCCTACTCACTCGCTGCATAACCCTTCCTCGCTGAGTTGCGCTTACATTAGCCGCTCCCGACTGAAACAATGTGCTGTTACCCGAAACGGTTTGGACATTTGCCATATAGCTTCCTTGTACCTATATGATCAATACATTGCATTCAACTACCAAACTACCACACCACAATTAAGCGATCTAAACAAACTCTTGTGAGAGATGGTGTTGTCGGTGGGGTGCGTTTGTTCTGCGTAGTGCTCGAAATCGAACGATAAACAGGTTGCGCAGTCTGACCAATCGTCACGCCATCGGTCGTCCGAGTTACAAACTGTAATGTACTATCGTAGAATTTCTCACAACAAAAGACAGACTATAGTGCTAATTACTGAGTGCCGCACCTGCATCCGAGACGATGATGGATGAGGATCTTGGCTGACAACCACGTAGTTATGCTGACTGTTAGCATTCACTCCTTGAACATGTTGCAGACCAGCACTCATTGAAACACTGGATGACGGATGTGACGCAACACGACGAAGGCCACCAACTGGAGAATGCGACTGTGGCATCATACTCTGAAAAAGTTTGTTATCGAAAAGCAGCACACATAAACAAATAAACAACTCACCATAGAAAGATCCTGCGTCATTGAGGATTGCACAGCGTTTGGATTTTGCAACTGAAATGAAAAATTTAAAAGAAGTACGTTTATGAAAATGTAAAAAACATCGCTAACCACAAGTTGAGGAACTGCAATAACAATAGGAATCCTGGACTGGACAATATCCGGCCCCGCGGGAACTGCCGGAGGTCGTACGCACACAGATATCACAGGATGAGGAGGTGAGCTCTAATATTCACAATGTTATTATAAGATAATATGCCTTCTACTTAGATCACTTTTAGTTACAAACCGGTCTTTCATTATTAGCCTGCTGCTCAGCCAACTTTTTTTTAGCCGCTTCTTGAGCTATCCGTTTCTCTTCCTAAAATAACGTTTTGATTAGCCTTGAAAAACAGAATCTAGAAAATTACAGGCATATTGATGAATTGATTTCTGGCGAGTCCGCATACCAGACTGTTTACGACTTCATCGGGGTACTGAGCTGTTGCGTATCGTACTCCTAGGAAGGAAAGGCGACTTTCCTGCGCAGGTGGTAAGCGACCACTCAGTTCAAGCGGTCGTGGGTCTAAAAAGAGCACAAATTATATGGAAAAAATCAGTTTAGAAAATATAAAATTCAGGGTTAACTGTAACCATTGGATCGTCGTAGTTCCTTGGACTCGTTCTGACAAACTGTAAGTGAATCGACGAGGCGAAGCTTGCCCAGTACCGCAGCTTCTCGTAGTCTTTCAGCATCATGACTGTATTGTAGATCGGTCGTAACCCGACCTTTTCGCAAATGCACTACAAAGAAAGGAGCATGAAGAACAAAACGACAATTTTCGCACAAACCAAATAACAGCAGTACTCAAATTCCAAATCCATTTAGAAGAATCTATACACACCAACTTCAGCGGACGTCAACGGCACCTTACGTGGTCTTCTTGATAACGGATCAACGACCATCAGTTGACCACTCTCCCGTGGACGAACCACCGTCTGGTAGCGAATTGAGCATTGTCGTGGAGATCTACAGAAATTATAAATTCATTCAGATATTAAACAACAGCGGTATTTACAAAGTAGCGAGTCTAAAATGCAGAAAGAAAACTGACAACAAACATCAAACAAGGGTAAATAAAGAGCGATATCGGACCATGAATGAAGAACAAAACGAATTTTATATCATCACCAACCTGTGCTACTCTTTGCAGATTACAAAAACCGGATGAGATAACAAACCTATAAAATCTCGTGACTCTGTTCACAAATCCAGATACGTACTCCCAGTTGTAGCGCAGTGATGTCTTCAGTCGCTCGAAACTATGACACATAATCTCTTCATTTCGAATAGCCTAAACACAAAAAACAGGGGTTTCCCTTGCTGTATACGTGGAAAACATCGTTTACCGTGAGTAAAGCCTGGTCCTCGATGATACACCACTCAGGTCCATCATAATCCGGTTCTTCTCGCACTGCTGGTGGCGGAGAGATCGGTCGCGCCAATTCCCGCCCTTTCTGTTCAAGCTGCCTTGGTGGTGCTCGCCTTTCTTTCTTCGATAACCGATTATCTGGGCCAGAAACTGAAAATCGTACATGCACTAAAACAGATTTTAGACAATCTGTCAATTGTTTCGGAAAATTAAAACATACAGTTCTTGAGTTCGCTATAACCCTGCATGTACTGGTCAAATTCAGCTGGAGAGTAAGGAGTAGGGCTATGTGAGGGCGGTGGAGGTGTATAAGATGTTGGATTATTAAATGCTTGCAAAAGGCTCATCACAGCTGCATCTGACGACGACGGTTGAGCATTAGATGGTGGAATAGGTGTAGGAGCTGCAATAAAAATACCCCTACTCTAGAAGCTAATCTCATATGAGACTATAATGCTTAAATACAAAGTAAAAAGGACACAGATGAACTTACGACTTCGTTTCAGTGGGCTTAGTGGCTTGTCGAGTGAACTGCGTAGTTCATGAATCTCCAGTGGAAGACGGTCTTCGGTCATGAAATCTGGATCATAAAGAAGGTCGAGGCAATCGTCGATGTAGACATCATTTTCAGAATCCGATAACGGTGGCGTCGGAAATGGTGCCCACGTCTGCGTAATGTTCAGCTGTACAGAGATTCACTGAGGATAATAAGAAAAACGAGAACAGGACACCTACCGGCATGATTTCATTGAGGAATTCAGGATCATATGCGAGCACCTAAATAATTACGCATTCACTTGAGGACTTCAAAATCAACAGTGTCTCAACTCATGTTGAAACTATTCTTTCCCTTCCTAGATTGTTTAGAACAAAATAATACGACAGAAGAGAATCCCACACCTCCCACAAGATAGAAAGGACGTCGACTGCTTCTGGTAAGAAAAGTTCAACATTGTTAGTTCCACGTAATGTCGTATAGAGTATTAAGCTTATCAAAAAAAGAATACATGAATACAATATTATTAAAGCCGTATAAATACAATCCAACACATTAAAAACTGAATTCCTGCAGTCCTGCAATACCACGACGGTAAATGTCACGGTCGCCCTCAAGAGTCAGGAACGGAAACACTGACAATCACCTTTCATTTGCATGTCCAAAAAAACGAAGGAAAACAAATTTAGATCATCTACAACCAATTTCGCATATTACCCACTATTCTCACAAATCTATATGTGACAAACTTGATACACTTAGCGCTCTCTACTTTAACGACGTTTGCACGATCGGAGTTGTGAGTTGTGCAGTAACATGTAACTACTTTGCTTGAAATTCAACCACTTGTTCATCGCTCCACAGAAATTTCGAACTTACGAAGCCTTTCGTTTAAAATGGTACCTATCAGGGACATCGTTCCTCCATCTATGAACAGACGATTTTACCTAACCTTATCTGAATGCCCATAACTTGACTTAGCGTATGTCGATGGACAATTGCGGTTTGGTGAATCGCGAGTCGTCGCCGCGTTGACCCGTATCCGTACATGTCGGCCGCGGCGGCGAATCGCTGAGCGACGGACCAAACCGCAACCGTACATGCTCAACGCGCATTTCACGGGTCGACGGCCACCAGCGAATCACCAACACACACAACGACATCATCAATATACGTTTATCAAATTATATTAAATCATGATTGAAATATGAATCAGATGACGAACATCTCTCTGTTAACAATACAATATCGTGTACAAACGGTATACAATATAACAACACTCACTAAAACGGAACGGGATGCAGCACCGTAAGCTTAAACTAAGTTTGAAATTCGACTTATTAAGACCGAACAAAATCCTCCATTCCTCGCTTTTTATACCAAAAATGAGTCGTATAGAAAACAAAACATATAGCTGGTATCTCAGCTGAAAAAAGTGACCATTGAAAAAGGCACACCGTGAAACCGTGAATAATGTGGATTGTGAGATCGCGTAAGCAAAGACAGTAAGACAACTAGCCATAGAAAAAATAACGAAATGATCTGTTAAGATAAAACAAGTGTACAGACAAGGGAAAAAAACTATCATTGTTCCCCCTCCATAGAAGTGTTGCCAGTGGATTTATGTCGGAACTGGAGACGCGGCCTTTCGTATTCTCCCAATCCAGGACGTTGAACTACCCGTGAATGCACACCTGCTATTGCATTCCTTGACTGTACGATCACTCTCCGTACTGGCATTACCGCGTGATGGACATTTGGGGTCGGTAGCACTACATTCATTCTGTTTGGTGTCGAACGAACAACGACATAACGCTGTTGCGGTCTCTGCGCAGTCATTACGCGCATTGAGAGAGGACCTCGACCGACTCCTGGACGTCTTACAAGCAATGATGACGACGGGTGAACGGAAGAGTTATTAATGCTAACAGGATGACTAGATTGACGTGAAGTTGATGCGGAAGACTGTAAAACACGTACAGGGAGGCGGACAGGGGAAGAATGATAGGATGTGCGAGAGGACGCACACGAAGAATGACTGGATAAAGCAGATAGTTGTGAATGACGTGAAAGTGTACGGACAGGAAAGCGTGGTTGTGGTGAGATATCTGATTTTAAAGGTAAAGATGACGTAGAATTAGAAGGTGGAGGGGTTGATGAGGATACTGCTGAAGTGAGAGCGGTCCCTGCTATGGTTGGTGAGCGAACATACACCGACGTTACTGGGCGTGTTGCAGCATTTCTATCCACCAGGGAAGGTTGATTTTTTGTGGCGGTTGGCCTATCTGGAGGCACCTCTTCAGTATTAGGAGACTTCTCCCTGATATCTGAATTTATAGCTGCAGCAGGTGAAACCGGCACAGAACAATCAGTATCTGGCACTCTGCGTGAGCGACCGCAACGTTTCCTAGAATCAGGATTGGGTGGTGATGCCGGAGGTGTATTCACAGGATTGTTAGATCGAAAATGCTGACTTCGAGCACGGGTATCGCTTACTTTAACTGCAGTTTTTCGCAAATTAGATCTAGTTTTGAGTTCAACTTGTCTGCCAGATTTTTGCAGAGAGTCAGAGGGTGACGGGTGAAGTACGTGAGAGGACGGAACAGGAAGATTAGGGAAGAAATGTGGAGTAATCACACGACGACCAGAAAGTGTTCTTTTGGAATTTTGCTGAGGCAAAGTCAAGCGAACAGAATGCCGAGATGATACAGCACGAGTCCCGGCCGCTTCTGTGGCAGAGGTTGAGACGCGGTTCTTACGCCGCGACCGTACCTCATCTAATAGGATCCCTGCTCCATAAAAGTCGTCATCAACGCTAAACGAATCACCGTCCACGGTAGGAGGATCTGTTTCGCCATTGCAGAGAGCCTTGTTGTGAGCTCGAACCCATTCTTCTCTTTTCTGTTCAATCAACGCCTAAATAGCAATTGGCAAACACTTCCTGCACAATAACACTAATAGCTCACTCTAGAAATCACACCTGTGCCTCCCGTACTTCTTCATCGAAATCTGGTTTGTACTCAGCTTCCAGGAAATTGACGGCATAACGTTCGACTGGTTTCAGCTAAACGTACAACTCGATATAAAAAACGGTAATGTGAGAAATGGTTCACAGAAAATTCTCTGAGTGAATATTCCCTTGTACCTGTCCAATAAGCTCAATGTATTTCTCATCAAGTGGTTCTTCACTATCCAAGTAGCTCTGAATGACTTTGGCTGAATTCTCAGCAGCTGCCAAACTCTTTGATTCATCAAATTCAGCCTTGTCAGCTCTGTTTTCGGCCATGACCAGCCGTGCTGCTGTGACATCTTGTTCATCTTCAAGCAAAGCCATAGCCTGCAGCTAGGAAGTTAAATTCTACAGGTGGAGCTCTTATATGCTAAAATCCTACCTTCTCCACATCTTTCTGGCTCCTTGGTCCATCAACTGTGTTAACATCTCCTATTTCGACATCACCATCGAAAAGATCCCTAAATAATGAAGCCGATATAAACCAACATTCATATTCAACCAAAAGAGAAACTAACCGGATATTGTCCGACTGCTTAAAAAATTCAGGTGTAAAACCAGCTTCATCTATAGCCATTTCACCTAACCGACGTTTTTGATTAGCCTTGCGTAAGATGTTCTCTTCAATGGTTCGTTCCGAAATCAGGCGAAAGATTGTGACATTCCGGGTTTGCCCAATCTAGAACCATCACATTTAATTAATTATCAGAGAAAGGGAGAAATAACGTATGGAATAGTCGTACTCGATGACATCTATCTTGAGCTTGTGCGTCCATAGTTGGATTCCAGTCAGAATCATAGAATATAACCGTATCCGCACCGGTCAAGTTCACACCAACACCACCAGATCTAGTTGACAGAATAAAACAAAATATTTTCGTGTCAGCATTGAATCGCTCCATCATCGCCTAAAAATGTTATTGAAAAGACTACAGATAAACCAGAAGAATCAGATATAACTAGTAAAACAAACCTGCCGCTGCTCTACACCAGTAGTTCCATCCAATCTGAAGTACTGATACCCGTGATAAGAGAGAAAAGCTTGCAAGACGTCCAACATGCGCGACATTTGAGTGAAAATCAGACATCTATGTTTAAGAGTGTATAAACGACGGAGCAATCGAGCTAAGGCTTGCAGTTTCCCTGAAATTTCTATGCTTTACAACAGTCATGTGAAAAATTGGGTTGAGGAAACATGAGCATGCTAAATGCAAACCGCAGTCGTATTCAATAAGTCGGAGTTCAGGAAAGTGCAGTTTGGCTGATACGAGTGCTGTGTGTGTTAGAGGATTGATCGCAGACAATAGTTTCCTAGAAGCATCCTCAAGGAAAGCATTAACAGAGCGGGATTGACAGCCGTAGCCTGCCGATGATGAGACCATAATTGGTGCATCCACAATGGCTGGATTAACACAGATCCAAAATCTGAACAGTAACTCGCAATAAATCATAGATTTCAGAGAGTCTATTCCATGTATTTACGAATTGAAAACCATTGAAAGCACTAAACATCTGAAAAACTGGACAACAAAAACAAGTATACTCAGTCTGTGTATAACCATTTTACCACTTTCCCAGATTCAACAGTTCGTTAAAAATGGCAAGGAGATTCAAATTTAATATTTTTTCGCCCAAAATTTACAGCATTAAGTGAACACGAATGTATAACAAAGGTCTCTACAAAGCCCTACCACATGTTTGTGACATTAGAATGCTCTGTGGTTCAGATTGCCATGTACATCGCAACAAAAGGTGTTCATGATATGGAAGGTCACAACTTTTGAACACACAGTATCTTAAATATCCCCACCACCTACCGTTTCATTGTATCCTCGACCCAATTACTAAGCTTCCGTCGAATATCAAATAGTGTGCTGTCACCGCCGAATAAAAATATGTCCTCTTCAAGACTACTCTTCAACTCGAGCTAAATGGCGAAATGAAAACGAGATTACCTTGGCGAAAACTAGAGAACGCGAAAGTGAAAGCATTACCTTCGGTCTAATTGACTCGGTCAAAAAGGAGATCAACTGTGTTGAATAAAAAGGACGCTGTTGCCTTTCGAAACGGTCTACAATATGTTGTAACCTTGACCGATTGTTTTCTTCAATGCGTTGCAATACCTCCACCTCAAGTGACCACAATACGTAAACGAAAACTAGACCAGTGAAATAAAGACATATGTGGTATTCAAAATATCTTCGGAAAACAATCACAACAGGTTATTGAAATCTAACAAACCGGCACCAGGTCGGCAAATTCGCCAGTTACAAGCTCAACATCGGGAGAAATGTCACGACGTCTTTTCAGGGGTGGACTAAGACGCGACACTAAATCCACTAAGGACTCGCTCATATAATTACATTCGTGAGTGCCACCATTTTGCATGGAATAGTGGAAGCCACTTGCAACTGTCGAAACTGTCAGGGAGAGAACTTTTGATACAGATGTCGAACACCGAAGGAACGGCTGAAAAACGCTCAGAAATTAAAACAAGCAACAACAACAAACTTGAAAAATCACTACATTTCACCCACTTACGTGGACATTTATGCTTGACTTCTTCGGCATTTGTCCGTACAATACTCTGTCTGGCTTCGAAGTACAACCTGTATCTAAGTTAATCACTGCTGTTGAGGCCTCTCCACCTGGCATTGCAGCAATTTCAGCAGGTGCTGGATTGGCCACTTGAGATACAGGGACAGGCGCGTTACCTCCATTGGAATACTGTTCCAAACGACTAGATACCTCTCGTAGTGTTTTTTCGCCATTCACTTCAGTGACCACCTAAATCGATGGTGTTAGAGTTACACAAAAAAATTACGGATATTCTTATTTTCGTAAACGAGCTACTATCAGGTTATATACATATACATATATACAGTCGATGTTACAGAGTACTACCACGTCACAAAGACCAATCAGCCAATTGCTGCCATTATTTTGAACCTTGCAAATCTTGGTGTCGTCATCGGGCTTTAACTCGTCTGAATCAACAACTGAACGAACATCGTCTACCTCCATGTGCATAGAAATTGGTGTTCCTCAAATGTAAATAGTGAAGAAGAAATGTGAAAACGGAGGATCCCAGTTGACGGCACCTTGCACCTTACCTTCACCACCTTCATGTACACCTTCACAATCTTCACCATCAGCCATTAGTTCATTCTCGTTTCGTGAAAAGCCGGAACGTTGGACCTCAGTGACACTTCGATCAACAACAGACGCAATTTCTAATGAGTTTGCCTCAGTGGTAATCTAAATATATTAAATATGACTAGGAAAACTTTTATTCTATGACAATCAGACGCAAAATCACAAGATTCTATTTAATGCAGAATGAACTACACTTTGTACATTTTACCACTTACTCCTACTGAAGAGATAGGTCGATGTAGACGAAAGCCAGATATGATAGGCGGACGAGTGTTAATCGACTGCTCTAATTCTTCTAATGTTGGCGGTTGCCCGACCTTAATGTGGTAGATTTGAGAACATTACGTTTAAATTAAAAGGACAGTGAAAACTAGTAAAAGTAAAAAAAATTGTAATTTGGTGAAAGAAAATTAAAAAATGACGGCATTACTAACTGTTGACGAACAGACACCGGTGAATCGCTTTCGTATATCAAGAAGCGCTGGTAGGTCACGACCAAAAACTTTTTCGTCAAGGTCCATCACCATCCGAGGTCGAAGAAATTCTAACCTATGGAGGCACAAAGGTGACTGGACGGCTCTCGGTTCGAAAAGGTTTGGATGATTGCAGCACTGCAAACAGTGTTTGAAGAACACAATTCTGAATAATTTAAAGACAAATAAATGAACCTTTCTTAACTGCATGACAATGTTTAGCACACAAAGCATATTTCCGGATTTCAACTTATCTCGAGTCCTAAATTTAGCACAAAAATCCGTACAGGGCAATCCATTTTGATAAACGCGAGAAAAACATACGATCTTTGGCTCATGAAGTCATCGTACAGATATCTCTGTCGTTTAGATAAAGGACATTTTATTACGTGCTCCGTTTTCTTCGGAAGTTGCTTCTCCACCTCGCTTTTCAATCGCCTCAATATGAATGGGCGCAATACCTAAAAAAACTGTCTTAATTTATTATAATGTTAAACAGACGAAAGTGCGTGAACTATTTATAGCAAAAGAACCAGAATTATATATGAACTACTTGGGTACATGGATGGCCCGTTTTCAATGGTTGTACGCGCACCAACATAATTTCCACTTTTCGGAGTTTTGGTAGTTTAACCATTATGATTCCCTACAGACCAAAGGCCAGTTTGGCCACCACCACAGACAGCTGCGCCCTTGGATCAAATGGAGATTTGCCAACACGCGACTAATTTGACACCAGGACTGTGGTGGATTCTGGTGCTGATTTACTCTTAGTTAGGATTCCTGATGGAAACGGCGGACTCCTTCTCAACTAGGACGACCCTGCTGGGAGGATGAATCCCTCCGTCGTGTATCGCAGCTCTGCACCCAGGAACACCTCGTAGCTACGATCAGGCGGTAAACCGTTGGGAGGGACATATGAATTATGAAGAAGCAATGCCAGACTACAGATTAGTGAATGAGAGGGAGATAAGCGGGAATAAAAACGCCTTTTTAAATAGAGGAAAGTGTAAGAAAAAAGTAGAAGCGATGGTCAGTGAACATACTTTATGCAGTTGCTGCACAAGTGGCGCGCTGTACTCGACACTTCCGTCCATCATTCCCGTGAGCGGATTGCTAAACCAATCCTTGAAATCGTCATGGCTTGCGAAAATGGCAGGCATCAAGAAATGCATCAAAGACCAGAGCTCCATGAGAGAATTTTGTAGAGGAGTACCTTAAAGAGGAAAATGCCTTGGTAGTTACTATCTACCTCCAATAGACAATATTCAAAACATAAAGCTACCTGTGAGAAGCAACCGCCGCCGTGCTTTTACATTTAGCAGTGTCTGCCATCTCTGACTCTTCCAATTCTTTATATTTTGTGCTTCATCCAAAATCAGGTACTGCCAAGCCTGTTAAAAACCAGTATATTTTGCTCTAAACTTGAAATACTCTTCCACTAAACAAACCTTCATTTTGAATGCACGAATGTCGGCTGTTACAGTCTTGTACGAAGTAACGCATACATGAAATGCATTTGGTTTTGACCAACCCTGAATGTGGGACATATTCATATAAATATAAAAGTGTGACATCCACCTGCAGAGAAAGTAAGAAATATCGAACCCTCCGTTTCTCTGCTCGATCTTTTTGAGAACCAAAGTAGGTAAGGATTTTAAATGCAGGACACCATTTTTTAAGCTCCATCTCCCAATTTAAGATGACCGATGTTGGTACAACAATCAGATGCGGTCCCCATACGGATTCGCAGCACGCCAGATGAGCTAACAAAGCAATCGTCTGAATAGTTTTTCCCAAACCTAAAAACTTGGCATAAAATGTAGACGATCATGAAATCATAGGATATAAATGATACTCCACATACCCATTTCATCAGCAAGAATTCCATTTAGGTTCTTTTCGTATAGAGTGACCAACCAGTCCAGTCCCACCATCTGGTATTCCCGCAATGTTCCCCTAACTAGGAAAGGCACAGCAGTTTTAATCTAAAATAAAGTTATGATATTTGATAAGAATGAGAACCTAAATATTGAAATGTTGTGAAAAAGTGCACCACCTGTGTTGTCTCCAACGTGAAACCCTTCGGTTGAAATTTCAATGCTGCCTCTGCGATGTTGGCCAATTCTTGTTGGCGCTCGTTGCTATTGATGCTGTTGAGTTTGGAATAATCAACACTTTCCAGCATACCACAGCCATCACCGTTACCTTCCTAAGGAAAAATACACGGATGAAATAACAGAGAAAAGATATCTATTTCAAATACATTACGCAATGTGCGTAATTCAAAACTTATTAACAGTGAAAACTAACCAAATGTGTATTTTGATCACGTATTACTGTACAGTCCTCTTCATCGATGCTCACTTCATCTTCTTCCGCTTTCAATGCTTCTTCAGTTGCTGTGGATGTACGCGCTCTACTGCTTTTTCTACGAGCACCATTATCGTTACTTGAAGCTTCTTCCAACTTTGGACGTTTTGCTCTAGTTTCCTCTGGACTACTACCGTTCCGTTCCACCTTTATTTTAAAAAATTAACAGAAAAGAACAAAAGAAAACTATGAAGTCCTTACCTTTTCATTGTGAATATTAGCACTATCTTTTACAGCTTTGTGCTCATCATCGCCCCCTGAATCAATAGGTATATCGGTTCGACCGGTAGCACTGATAGACGGTAAGTGCACACCAATTGATGCCAAGTATTCTGGTGGTAACTGAAATGTCAAATCTGAGAAATATAATGAACAAAAGATAAAAATAAACGTAAAAATGAAAAAAAAAACCAACACACAACAGCAGATTACGGTATTTTGGGGGAAATACAAAGCCGAAAACTGTGTACCGAAGCTAAGAAGTCGTCCATATCCTGATCTGCGTCCTTACTAAGTGCTGAAACTTCTTCCCGAATATCGTCAATCTCATGTTGTTGCATAGCGGCCTCTTCACGTTCTATGGTTATTTCGTCATCCGACTCTGATTCGCTTACACAGAAATCCGCATCTACTGTAACAGAACTTGATAATAACATACCAGCGTAGGAATTAACACGGCACAACCACGCTACTATTCTCTGTGTCAAACTTTAATGAACCATTCAACCTGTTATGTAGTCTCCATTCTAGTAGACCACTTAATTCTAAAACTCAAAATTGGTCTAGCAAGCTCTGATTTGAAATTCTTGGAATTCATTCTTCAGAAACTCTAGCTCACGTCCATTCTACTCCAACAGTAGCGGTTCGCAAAGAAAATGACTTATGTGTATAGTGTACGTTAGTGTACAGTCAGATATCTCGATGGTGACAGACTTTGCGAAACTATTCCAAATGACCTTATAACTACTGTAACACTTCGTCATCTATGGAGAACAGCAGAAACCAATGCGCTCCTAGGCACAGATGAATTTCACAGTAGTAACGAGATTACTGGTCAGAAATTGTCTGGTAAGACGGTCAATTGGATTCCATTCCAATTTGTTTTGGTTTCTTTCCTCTTTTTTTATACAGTCAAAATCATTGTTGTATTTCTACGTATGCTTTCAGCTTTGATTCACTGAACACTTCCAACTTGTGGTTTCTTTGAAGTGAAACATCCATCCATATTTACTCATGTCTAAACCACTGAGTCAAGCAGCTGCGATTCTGACTAAATCGCTATTTAATCGCATGAAAATTTTCACAGTTAGTCTTGGTAGGTCCTGCGCGTATCGCCGCCACCATCTATTCTCATCAATTAGGAGGTATTACCATGAACGTTAACCTCCGCATTGATCAAATAACTCTTTTTATTTCTGTTGAGCAAACACGAGGTGTTATTTCATTCTTAAGCTGACGCCGGATTTCGCTTTCCTCAGAGGCTGGAAAGGTCATGTTGACCACAATCTACTGAGCCAAACTTACATAACCAAACAGAGAAAATGTTAAACCGATTTCGCGACTGAAATTTTGGTTTAGCATTTTCTCTGTTTGGTTATGGAAGGGTTTGGCTTAGGAGGTGTTAAGTTGTTGTTCAGCAAACAAATGTCGTGAGATGACATAGCATATTTTTAACATAAGACGGAGGGTAACGTGACAACAATACTTCAGAAACTGTCCCCGTCCCCACTTTTCCAGTTCTTTTCAATTATTTGGAACTACTTTCGTTATTTATTGCCCTTAAAGGTATAAATAGCGCACTACTTTGCAATGACGATGAGACATAAAAGAATTCAATCTTTATAATTTAAGTACCACTAATCACTAGTTCTTCCATTTAGGTCGTCCATCTGACTAATAATCACACTATACAGTGAAATAAGAAAAAATAAATACCATTATCATCATCACGAGATGTATATGAGGGTGTTCTAGAAGCTCCCTTGTCTTGCGCCAACCCTTCTTGAACCATAGAACTAAGTTTGTCGGCTTCACCAACTATAAAAGCCATGTGGGCATCCAGGGCTTTTCGCTTCTTGGATTCTAGTATCTCCTTAATGATAAATAATTGAGGTTTAGGATTATAAATCACCAGACGACATCGGTATACCTGTGCTCGATGTTCCACCACCTTATCCACACTCTGCCAGAAATCACGAACCATTTTCGCAATTGAGGCACAAATCCTTTTACCGTCCTATAATATATGATGCTTCCTATTCATCAACAACAGAGAAGTATATAGATGCATCTTCACCCTAATCGACCGCAGATGAGCACGCTCTTGATCAATCTCATCGTCTCTTTTCTGTTTTTGAATGGCAGCAGCAATCTATAACATCATGGTCCACTGGACAATACTACATATAGTAATTTCAACTACTTTTCGTGCAACTAGTAATTTCAACGAAAAAAATATCGGCAAGAAACCTTTCGTGCAACATTCCGCTTAAATTGACGTTCCATCCGGAAATCCGTAGCCATCCACTTCATTTCCTCAAGAACGTAGTCCCAATGTGTTTTATTTCGCGGGGGAGCTACACAAAGTGGAAGACGACTCGCCGTCCACAAACCAGAACGACGAAGTTCGGCAATTCGCATCATCACTTGTGCTTCCTATACAGCACTGTCATCCTTCATATGAATTCAAGTAAACAACGTAATTTTGGCATTTAATACGCAAACGACCCAGTCATGTAGTCGATACCTCTCGTTTTTACGTAAAAGCGGCAAAAACGCGAAATTATGACAACAGTTCACTTCAAAAATGACGCTCGGAATTAAGCCACATATTGACGTCACCGCGAATGTTTTGAAAACGGAGAATTTCGATTCTAGTTAGTACTACACCACGACATCTGTACCTGTTTTGCAGCTTTCTCTACATTGGACTCCGCATTGCCCACAGTCGACAGAGAATGTGGAGCGTCGGTCGGCTGAAATAAAGCAATAAACAATTTATTATGTAGAATATCTGAAGCTGATCCAGGAAATCCAGTCACTGTTCGCTACAAGTATGGATCGTTAACATTAGTGATACTTAATATGACAAACTGAAGATAAGATATCACAGAAAATACGAACTTCTTGTGAATCTTCTACTTTCACTTCTATAGGGGACAAGCGAGTAGGAGATGCAGCAACATGGCCTAGAATACGAAACATAGAAGGAAAACAAACAAGGGAACTTTAAACCTTACCATGATAATTCGAACAAGGCGTTACTGCACGACTAGGTGACCCAGGAATTTCCGCTTTCATTAGCTCCTCAGAAATCCTAAACGAACTCACTGAATGCACTTCTTATCCCCACTTGAGCTCACGTAAGACCGCTTTTTCTGTTAATATACGATTTTCGAAAGCGCCCAGAGAACGGAGAACATATTATTCTAATAAAAAAAAATTTGAATACAGTAACACTTCCAATGAAGACAAACGATTAGAAGCGTCAGAAATACGACGCTTTAGTCACGAGCACATACCCATGCTCTAGTTCCGCTAACAGACTATTCATTTCGAACGTTCTCGATCTATTACTTCCGAGTCCTGCTCCCATTTTTTCCCTTTGTTCTCTAAAAAAAAAGAATGTAATGAAGTTAAAGGCAATAACATTTCTCATTTAATGAAGGTTCTAAAAAAAGGTAGAAAGTACTAAATGAAAGTCAGTAATTAAGAGATAAATCTATAAAAGTCTGCAAGGCATACATGAAATCTCGACATGTTCGTCTAGCTCGTAACAATCGCATGATGTATTGAAGGTAGTTTTCATCCCCTCGTGAATAAGAGTTGGCCGGGGCCTGCAACCAAGTAAGATCTGTGAATTGGGTTGGAATTAACCTACAACCTAATGATTCATAGGTCTTATGTCGTAATGATATACAAACAATCAAAAACACCAACAAGAGAGACCATTTCGAACGTGTGTGAACACGATTACCCGAGGTATATTGCGTGGTTCTTCCACAAGTTTTTCTCCGTAACCACAGCATTCCAATGAATGAGAAGATAAAGGATTAAAGGATACAGCCCTCGGCGTTAATCAATAACTGAAAGATGCGCTATGTGTTCGACTTCATTAAGCACCGCTGGAGGTGAATGAATGCATATCTGGCCCATACAATGAGTCGCAGTGGCATACCGATGTTTCGACCAGTGCTGTCATCCTCCCAGACAAATCTGGTCCCAGACCAATTTGCCTACTTTGGAGGGATGGAACGCTTGGTGAACCTTGGACGTGGGAATCAACCCCAAGCGTACTGTAGTGCTTCTGACCACTGCGCTATGCGCGCCCCTAGTAAAAAAAAGACAACGAGAAAATCTACACAAAAACACGTATTAGAATCATAACTGTTTCGAGCAATTCCAAGCCAAAACTACCTATGTAGGTCAGCATTTTATTGAGAAAACAAATACTGTGTATCAGTCCTTTAGATGGTTACAGAGTATCTCCCGCCAGGAGATGCAATAACCAAACAATGGTATTGATAGTCTTCTTGTAGCTTCACTTTTGGCCTGCATTTATAAAAGACATGTACAACACGGATAAACTACTCACTGATAACCAACAGCCTTTTTCCCATCTTTCTCTGGAATTTATATTCTATGTGATAACTCTAAACCTCACCTCTCGACTAGTAGACGGCTCATCGGCTGGACCGCTATGAGAAGATTCACGTCGCAGTGGCATGGTCAGAGAAAAGTATAACCGGATGAGTTGCCCTGGATACTTCATCATTAAGAAAAAGAAAAAACCTTGGGTAGGCTTCATACGGAAATGAACAACACAGCGAGAACCGCTACAGGATTAGAGAAATTCACTTCTTCCAACAATCAGAGCTTCAAATGAAATCCGATATCTAAAATAATAAATATGTTACGAATAAATTTTTCATGACTGGGTCAACATCCGACCACCTTTTCGAGGTGGCATGACGTTTTCCACTGGTCTGGAATTTCCTCGTTCTAAACGTAGAATGACATCTATGAGAGCAAGCAGGGTTTCGAAAGGAACTTAAAAGTACGATGATCACATCCACATAAGGAATGAAGGGTAAGGGAAAAGAATTCATTACTGCGGAGGCAAGTCATTTTTAGACAATTTCTAAAGCTACAACCACATATCCTACGATCTGGGGAAACCTTTGGCCTGGCTGACCTCGGGACTCCAGAGAATCACAGTGGTTAAACCAGTAAAACTGTGAAAAAATCCAAACTATGCTGGCTTCCGCACAACCAGTGAACACAGGTGATGCAAATACTCAAGTGAGCATGTACAACCACATATCCACACTTTGTGGTCAAACGTCATATCCTAAATTTGAAGAAAGAAAAGTTTTAATCTCCAAATCTCTAGGTTCTAATCTGAACCTTACCCTCCTTGATGATCATGAAATGGTGCATACGTCTACTCTGTTGCACTGTCCAACTTTCAAAGCTCAACACCTAACGTGTATATTCCTGCCGAATGATTCCCTGATGTACTACTTTATTGACATCAAGCGCCTACACGTGTAAATATAAGATTACAAAAATAGCCTTACTTGCAATCGAAATGCATCCAAGCAAAAATTCTAGCAGCCTACTTTCTGTCTACCAGGTTTTGAAGTAAAAGTTACTATCCTCACGAAGGACTCCAAAACATCAGCGCGCAAAACTCTTGAAGCGTTTCGGATCAACTCCAGGAATTCGAAAATGAACCGTACTGTCGAGCGTCTTGTCATCACGTGACCTCTCGCCATGCCCCTGACTGATCCAATGACCTAATCGGCCATGTATTATTCTGTGTGGCTGCTCTCCACCAACTAACTGGAGTACTTGCAACGATTAAACGGTGGGTGTTTAAATGAAGCTGTTTCATATGCGAATACAAATTTGTTTGTTAAGTTTTATCTGCTGGGGTTATGAAAGTGTTTGGCTGGGTAGATCGCATCTCAATTTGACCTTTCCAGGCTCTGAAGAAGATGAAACCGCCGAAACATCAGCTATTAATAAATTCTATGATACCAACCTCGTGACTGCTTATTGAAGAAAAACAGCGAATTGTCAATTAATGCCGAGGCTAATAGAAAGTCTCTCCTGGGAATGTCTACCTACTGTTTACAACAACAAACTCCGCTTCTTTTGCTCAGAGGTGACATTACTCATTTGATCAGGGAACCTTTCCATCATAAAATAAAGACTCAAACACCTTCGGAGTTCAGATAAGCGCGATAAATACATAGCCACGTAATGGAAGCATTTTTAGGATAAATTTTCAGCAAAAAGAACGATTTTTTGGGATAAACTGAACGGGAAAAGAAGCACAACAGAATCCACGATATCGATGGACATTTACGTTTAGAAGAGAAGAAGAGAATTACATAAGCCCCTAGACCAAGAATGCCATTCAAACAAGCCACCACCAACCTATATAGCAATGCCGCGCATTGGCAAATGATGACGTAGTAGCCGGTAAACGGGAGCGACGCGGTTGCGTCACGTCTGGCGGGATCGGACGCAGAATTCAATTCGGTACGTAGTTGCGGACACCGCTTCAGCAACTACGTGGTCACGGCATGGAAGATATAGTGAGGAATGTGAATATACGTATATACTATAAATTAGTGAGAAGAATGTCGATCGTCAAGAGCACAGTGCTGGTTCGATCCCGCTCCAGGCTCACTAAGCATCTCTTTCTTTGGGGTTCGAGAAATTGGTGCCGGACTTCTTCAGGAAAAGGTTCACTCTCTGCGATCCAGGTGAAAACGCTCTAACTTGGCTACCTCAGGACTACAGGGAGAATCGACTCGACCAGCATTCAACGACATTCAAGATGAAAGGCAAATCCTCAAACAGCAACCTAAGCTACATGTAAAGTGTTGGAAGACCTTTGCGGATAATGGGTACGAGGAAACGAATCGAACGTGAGAAGTGCTGGGATCCGCACTGTAGATGTGAAAGACGGATCGTGTAGGAAAAAAAGTAGTTTGTGGAAATTAAGGACCTCACTGGTGCAGTGTGTAATACGCAATCCTCCGGAAAGGGTAACCGTGATTTGATCTGGCCCTGGGTCCAAGTTTTGCGAATGTCTCAGTATCGTAGTAATTAGTGGGATACTTTCATAGGCACAGACAGTGCCTGATAATCTGTGTGAAGTAGTTATGTGATCAGAAAGAAGCGTAACATACTTCCGTAATCTGTATGTTTTCGAATAAAGCTCGATTACTAACAGAGAGAGATTATTCAGGCTAAATTTCTTTACTTAAACCCTTCTAGATTGTTAGCAAATTCGGAAACAATCCAGAGAGTTTGGGCAAGTAGTTTATTACCGGTTAAAACCAGCGTTACATATCAATACTAAAAAATCAATACCCCACATGTACTGATTTCCATTCATGCTACTCTGTCTTTTGATATGAAGTGAAATTATTACTTATAGTTCATTACACAGGAGAATTGCATAGACCTGTGACATCAGACCCACTTTCCCAACGAACCCCTGTACGAGTTTCGACGTCTTCGTCTTCCTCAGAGCCGATGATCCGAGTCGATGTTCCACGCTTGATATTCGTCTCGACGTGGCAGCTTCGCCTTCGTGTCGAGTTAGGTCTTCCTCAGTGAGCCATCTCCTCGAATGAGGCATCCTCACTCAGTGATGCCCATTTATACACGATGCTGATGTTGGATATAATGATGTCTTGTACGAGTACGAGTACTAGTACAAGTACGAGTACAGTACCTTGTACGAGTCTTTATGATAATGTTGGCGATCTGGCTTTCTACCCTAACTTCACTAACGGTACTTCTTAATTTAAAAATTCTATGAAACAAAAACAATTTGGGTCCCGATTCCCTCAACCAAATTTGCATCTGTATCGGTTCCAAATCATCATATTTCTCCATTATAGAGTCACTAGTAGTTCAAACCTCCCAACGGTTTACCGCCTCATCGTAGCTGGAAGGTCTTCCTAGGTGTCGGACTGCGATGTACAGCCGATGGATTCATCCACACAGCAGTGTCTCCCAAGCTGGGGAGTTCGCCGTTTCCACCAGGAAGCCTAGGTAAGAGAAACTATTACCATGATCCAGCACCGTTCTGATATCAAACTAGTCGCGCTGTGGCAGATCTCCCTCTGATCCACGAGAACTGCGACCGCCTGTGATGGCGACGACCTGGGGCAGACTTTGGCCAGTCTGTCCTCGGGACTCCAGGGAACTATAATGGTTGAACCGGGAACACTCCGAAAAAGTAGAAATTATGCAAAGATCAGCACAACCAATGAAGACTGCACTAGAAGAACTAGAAGATAGAGATGGACCGTCAGAGATCGACCCAATAAGATGAAGAAAAAGTTTTCAAATATGCGCTGATATTGTACTCAACCTGTTCTTTTTCCCTAGAAATAGTAATCAGCTTTATCCTTATTTGGTACAATGCAATGGAAACACAAACTGAAGAAGAAACTGCACATTCATCTGTACTATAGATCATCAGGAATATGAAAACCGGACCGTAAATCTGACTCGAAGTTCAGATAAAAAGACTTCCCAAGATATACACAGTATTAAAAGCTATTTATTACAAACGATATACGAAAGATCTAAAGAGGCGAACCACTCACTACTGCAAGATCTGAAGGCTTTCGTAAAGCTTTACTTAACATGTAGCTGCTTCTTAGAAACCTTGTTATCGATAGCATCCATAATGAGTCCGGAAAACACTATGAACGTCGCCCACTTCTGTCGTTCCAGTAGCGGATGGTTCATGAATACAACAGAAAAGATAATCGTGAACAATTTTCGAGTGGTTGTAACTACCGAGCAAGTAAGTGGAGAGAATTCGCTGATGGTTTTGAAGATGAAGTACTGAAAATCAAGTACTCATACTTAATGAGAATCAAGGGAAAATGCTTAAGAGCTATCCATTATTATAGACTAACTGAAATAATCATCAAACTTATATGATCGAAATACCTACCATAAAAGATGTCATACTTTGTACAAATATAGTAACTTTAGGGTTATAAAACGTATTAAAGGATAAAAAGCTAAAACTCTCTGCGTTACAACCCCTGAGGGATGCGCTATGCATTCGACTTCAATAAGCATCGCTGGAGGTGAATTAATGCATACCTAGTCTTTACAATGACTCGCGGTGGCCTACTGATGTATCGAGCCACTGCTGCTATCCTCCTAGAGAAGTCCGATACGAATTTGCAGACCCCAGAGGGATGGAAGGCTTGGTGGGCCATGAGCGCGGGGGATCGATTCCATGTGCGTGTTTCAGAGCGCCTCCGACCACTGCGCTACACGCGCCCCTTATAAAACGTACTACTTCGAAAAATTACCGTATTTTTTAGAGCGGTTTTCTCCTTTACACAACGACTAGTTAAAAAACTACATATATGTTAAGACAAACTGCCTTTATTGAGCTGATGCGATATTCGTATAAGATGTCGTTGTTGGTATTGCTCTTATTGTTGTGATTCGACGGCTTAGGTTTCTGCGATAAGAACAGCAACAACGACAACTTACACCAACCTCGCAACAGCTCAACAAGGGCAGTTCCTCTGAAGATATATATATATCGACTATTTACGCCGAGATTTATGGAAAGTCGATTTATTGAGCCACAAAACTGTAGAATACCTGTCCTCCACAACTTGACGCAGCTACTAAGCATAGATCAAACAGAACGTGCGGATGTCGGTGAACGAAAGAGGCAAATCCGAAAAGTTCACCAGTAACCACCAATCTGAAAATAAGCAAATTAATTGTCTTGGAGCAATACATTAAGGACTGAAACTAACCAGATTATTGAAAATTTACAATGGGAGTACTAAGGTTAAACCCTTAGTGTACTAACCCGACCATAAGGTATATCGTTGAGAAAAAATTGGTGTAAAACATCATACTAAGAGTAGTACGTCTATAACTTTTATTGATCGTATCTTGGATGGCAGTAGTCGTTCCATCCAACATCAACGACAACAACTGAAAGCATGGAAAATGTTGTGAAAGAAGAATAAAGAAAATATAAATAATAAAAAATAAAAAGACAAATAAAAACAAAACACGGCTGAGAGAAGGCTGAAACAAAGAAACCACATGGTGTGGTGGTGAACAAGTTAGCCGCCGGAATGAGCGGTGGCGAGTTCGATCCCACCGCAAACACTTTTGGTCCGGAGGTTCGCAAATAACTCATCGTCATTGTAGAATATTAAAGTTTGTTGATAAAAGACAAACTTTTAGTATGCACGAACCAGTAAAAGCTCTCCAATTCCTATTTGTTGCTCGGTCGACGTCTTCTTATCCTTGTACAGGAACATGGCAACTCCAATAACAATCATAATAATGAAACCGTATTTCCTCCACGAATACTTCTTTCCAGCAAACAGGACTCCAAATAAAAGTACTGGGATCGGTTTGCACGACTTTGCTAGCACCTGAAAGTACCAACTTTAACAATAATAGTAATGGTTAATCCATAGCCAAATATTTCCTTTCAGCTCGTAGGACAGGAAGTGGGAAGAATAAACGCCGACTTGTAAAAGTTTTATCATTAACAATAATATTAAATGTAAGTCCAGTGATATAAGCTGGCCAAAGTAGAACACCAGGAAACCGCCTAACTCCAAAGGCGTTTTTTCTCCTTTTCAGTAAGAAATTAAGTTGTATTTATAGAGGAAAAGTGAAATTATGTACTCCTTTTCAAATTGGCACAATACTTACTTGGATACTTGGATGGCCCGCCTTCCCTGGTTGTGTGGGCCCCAGTATATTGTCCACTGCTTCGGAGTTTTGCTGGCTTAGCCAGTGTGGCTCCCTGGAGTCTCGAGGTTAGCGTAGCCAAATCCTGCCCATGTCTTCACCACTAAAGGCAGTCGTCGTCCTCGTGGGTCAGAGGAAGATTAGCCACCATGCAACTAGTTTGATACCAGGACGGTGGTGAATCCTGTTATTGGCTTACTCTTAGCTGGACTTTCTCATGGTAACGCCGGACTCCCTCTCAGCTTGGGAAATCTTGCTGGGGATGATTCCTCCCACTGTACAACGCAGTCCGATACCCTTGAACACGATACACCTCCCAAACACGATGAGGAGGTAAATCGTTGTGACGAATTGATATAATAGATAGCATATTTAACACAATGTGTGGAATGCACATTCTCAGCGAACTTCCAAGTAGACCTCGGATTTTACAACAAATTACTGCATTCAAAACCTGAATTTCTATAGAAGGAAGAAAGGAACCTTAAGTAACCGCAGAAATAAACGTTAGGAACGCTCTCCTTTACCACTCAGCACTACATCGTACTTAAGTTGTTACTTTAATTTTAACTGAAGATGAAAAGAAAGGATGAGCCCCATGTGGAAGAACAGAACCGTTATCGTATACCAAGACAAAATTAGAAGTAAACAGTAAAACTAAGAAAAAGCAGAGAGAAGACGAAAGAAACGGTGAAATGAAGGGATGTCAATATCTTATTGACTTACGTGACTCCGTTTATGTCAACAAAGGTAAAAAAATACTGAGACCAGATTTAGATGGCTTACTAGTTTTGTAGCGTTACTGGGATAGGAGAAACCGTTGTCTACCAAGCTCAAGTGAAAAAAGCGAACAGTTATCTGAGAAAGAATGTTTAGAAAACCGACAACCCCAATAGTAAATGACATAATATATGCTAAAAACCCATTACTTTCTGCTAAACCAGCAACACGAGCTCTTTTCAAACCATCAGATCAAATGTGCAATATACCCCGACACAGGCCACGTAGCTCGAAAGTAAGCGAGTAGATATTTCGAAACCGACTCTCCTTGAACCTCGGTATCAATAATCAATATGTATTCTTTCTTTGATAAGCTTACACGAGGTTGATAATGATATTTATTCATTTTCGGCTAACGTTTCGACCTCTTCGTCTTCCTCAGAGCCGATGGTCCGAGTCGATGGTCCGTGCTTGCTGTTCGTCTCGACGTTGCAGCTTCGCCTTCGTGCCGAGTCAGGTCTTCCTCAGTGAGCCATCTTCTCGAATTGAGGAAGACCTGACTCAACACGAAGACGAAGCTGCAACGTCGAGACGAACAGCAAGCATGGACCATCGACTCGGATCATCGGCTCTGAGAAAGACGAAGACGTCGAAACGTTAGCCGAAAATGAATACACATCATTATCAACCTCGTGTAAGCTCATCAAAGAAAGAATACATAAGCGAGTAGAACTTTTATTCCTCTTTGTAGCACTTCAAAGCTGCTACTCGAAGGAAGAGCGAGATAAGAATCGTACTGGAAATGAGGTGTTCTAGTGCTTCTACACTAAACTCTAGTGCTGTATCTTAACCCTGAGCAGTTGGTGAGAAGCTCAGCTTCCTAATATTCATATCGCAAGCCTTCCTAGCTTACGAAAAGCTGATGGATCCACCCGCTTCATGCCAAAATTCCACTATCATAAATATTTAAGTCATGTTGCGGTAGTAAACCACTACAGCGGACTCAATGACAATCATAAATGAAAGCAACAATACCACTATAGACCGACTTTCATTCAACCTCCGTAGAAATGATCAATGTACCTTGTTTCATTAATAAGTTAACACAAGATTGTTACCACATATCTATTCGGCTAACGTCTCAACGTCTTCGTATTCCTCATCGCTGATGAACCGAGTCGATGTTCACAGTCGTTCGTTTTCTCTACATGGTGCCTTCGTCGTCGTGTCGAGTCGAATCTTCTTGAGTGGAGTGCCGCTCGAATGAGGCAACCTCTCTTAAACGACGATGAGATGAAGACATCACATCGAGAAGATAAACGACGGTGGACATCGAGTCGGTTAATGGGTTCTTGGGAAGACGAAGATGTCGAAACGTTAGCCGAATAAACATTGGTAACGACCTCGTGTTACCTTATCATTGAAACAAGGTATACAAGCGAAAGTACTAAAAAACACGGATAAAACTGAAATAATTCATACCTGACACAAATAAAGACTGAACACTAAGAATTAAACAGTTACCTGAGTTGGATACGGCAAATACTGAAGAGCCTGATTACTACTGATCATAGCGCCAAGGTAACTAGCCGAACACATTCCGTACATCCTCGTTGGAACACTGTCGATATCACGTTTTGATCGCAGAATCCAAGCAAAAATCGTGTTCGATGCACATAGAAAGAACACCAAAGCTTGAGTATATGTGAACTTCTCCCCATTAGCATACTTTCCTTGAACACTGAAAGCATTACGTTAAGGAAAGAAACCAAACCCAGGCTTCCACAGTAACCTCTTAACTTGTCAGAGCTCCTTAAGAAGACGAAAACAAAGTGTAGGATGGAAACAAAGTACTGAAGAAGTATTGAAGTGACTTACATTCTTTCCTGTTGGATCCCGAAGTAAAAATAACAGGCAAAAGTACCGCCGGCGCAAATCAGAAAGTGAAAGGCTTCACTGATATGAGATCTTGTTAGGATATTATGATGAGAATCATCCTTCGATTCACCCGTCATATCGACTAGAGAGCTGTTTTCTGCTGACATCTGTGACATCTGAGAAGTTGGTTATTAGAACAATGGAGAAATTGAAAAACTAGTTCATAATGGAGAAGTACCAAGACGATATATATGGTTTCACGCCTATAGGAGGAAAGTATTAAGAACTATAGGGTTACAGAAAGCACTATTACCGGAATATACTCTATACCCCTCCCCTCCTCACCCCCCGAGGCTCCCAAGAGGAGGATATTGCCAAGACGTCCGAAAGGTTAGCTTTACCGAAAGAAAAAATAACATAACACCTCGTGTTCGCTAAGTAGGAATATTTAGACTTATTTGACCAATGTCGAGGTGGATAGAAAATCGGCAACAGGTGGGGGGGGGGGGGGGGGGGGGAGGCGGTTACATGTTATGTAAAGTATTTTTGTTTTTATTAAGAATACTTATACAGGATGATGGCGATGTTTCTTGGGAGCTCGTTCCCAATACTTGCTTATGGTAAGACTCAACCTTAATAAAACCGCACGAAACGAAATCAACCGAACTTTTCCTGGAAAGTAATCCAGAAATCCTACCCGGAAATCGTCTATTTTCAACCAATTAGGGAATTTTATGACCGTATTCAATATCAATCTGAGGTTATACTTGGTATTCAACATAAAAATTCATTACATATGAAACCGATAACTTTCTCAGTGGGTCACTTCGATGCAATTAAGAAATTTAAGTCCTACTGAAGATTCCTGAAAAATATGGAGCACTATTTCAATTCAGGGCAATTTTTATAAGGGTTAACTAGCACAAATAGTCCCAAAAGACAAAAATAAAGGATGTGTTAGCACTTCAACGATAGATTTTGAGGATATTACCACTAAAAACGGAACCAAATATGATGATTATAACTCAAAGAAGCCTAATACTGGTCAATACCTTTTCGGACTGTTCAGCTTAGACGAGGACGAGAAAGAACCTTATTCGGCTAATGCTTCGACGTCTTCGACTTCCTTAGAGCCAAGAAGGCATTGATTACAACAACTGACGTTAAATGACGAACGGATTTTAGCTAAGAATAGAAGGAAGAAGTAAAGTCAGATGAGGGACGGACGACCCTGATCCAGAAGTCAGGCGACAGTGAACGAAGCCGGGAAGCATCGAGTGAGTGGGTGAGCTCGGCATTACACGTCAGCGTAGACGATCGTGTTGGCTCAGATCCAGGAGACTGGAAAAATGGGAAATCCTCCATATTTTTGTTAATTTAACCGAATCACGTCCTACTAATATCTCACTGAGGACAGCTCGTTATAGAAAGGACACATATAAAATGCTAGATCGCTCACTGGTTCAACGCCGCTCCCCGGGCACACGTACCCTTCCCATCCGGTAATGGCGCTTCAGGGTCGGCAAATTGGTATGAGACTTGTCTAGAGGACGGTACTACTAATTTGATACATCAAAACTATCCTACAAGTCATTATCTAGGTTGGAAACACATTCAGTCATCTTTAACGATGCTTAATGAAGTTGAATGCATGGCGGATCCTTCAAGGATCGATGAACGTCGAGAGCCTTGTCCTTTATTTTTTATAGTCCAAACTACACCAATGATCACTCAACAACCACTCTACTCTCAGTTCCAGCGTGAACATGAGGAGACCTTACAGATCTAAAAACGAACGAGGCACATCAGTGACCGGACAGAATTGGATGAAGAACTGATGGCATGGCGGTCAGACTTCTCTGTAAAGACGATACCTTGTCGATTGAAGTACATGGAGCGAAAAGAACCAACTGAGAAGATTTCGAAGTAGAAGTTACGATCCTCGCACAGGAGTCGAAAACACAAGCGCGCAAAATTCTTGAGGTGTTCTGGATTAATTCCAAGAATCCGAAAATGGACTGCAGGGAGGAATGCCTAGTAATCACGCGTGATAATGCACAGTATTTAAACCTGTTATTCTGATGGGGTGTCATTGAACTCGCTCGAAAGGACGATGCTAGGAGTATCCCGTGCCACGCAAGTAAGGGAAGGGATCCGAAGCTCCGAACTGCGTCAACGATCAGAAGTCAAAGATGCCACTCTGTAAGTTGAACAGTCGAAGATAAAGGGGCCGGAAACATAATGCGTATGAATGACAACCGATGGGCAAGAGCCGTTGGCGACTGGATTCCTCAGGATGTCAAACGCACCTCAGGAAGACCACTGACTCGATTGTCAGAGTTATTCGCGAGAAACCTAAAAGAAAGATATGATGCTCAATGAGTCCCTAGAGCGAGTAGAACCCACTGGGTTACTCTTACATGCGCCAAGGAAAAATGGAAGATTTAATGGCGCCCGCTCGAGTCACTCGATGGGACTACAGGTGATACAGGTGATTCTGATGAGAAAGGCACATTACGCTTCCATGTGAACCATGTTGGTTGGTCTCCACGTGACATATTTACTGGAATACTCATAGAAAGCGGTGAGTGTGCAAATAATCTGTGTTCAGTGTGATTGGGATATTGGTTCAGCATTTTCTCTGTTTGGTTATAGAAGTGTTTGGCTGGGTAGATCGCGGTCAACTTCACCTTCCCAGGCTCTGGGAAGGCGAAATCCGCCGAAACGTCAGCTTGTGCGTAAATAAAGAATAGAATGACACATCGTGATTGCTTGACAAGAATATAAAGAATCAAATGAGAATCTCCGACGATGGTGTATATTCTGGTCGCTCGATAGACAACAGGAAGATAGTTGACAGCGGGCGAATGTATAGTAGCCTTAAACGTACTCATAGGTCACAGTGTTTGGAATTTCAAATTGGCTTTAATTCCTCGACACCTTAGGGCTATGAAGGCAATGAGGATTATAGATGAGGAAGGTTCGCATCGTGAATCACGATGAAGATTTGTGGATACGAAGGGAAAACGAGGATGGGATCATTTCTGCAGAGTGGGAAGGATACTTATAAAAATGCAAGAACACTATTTTATAAGATTTAAAAAATCGTGAAACCATAGTGAGCAAACGTTAGCTATAATTTTGCCTAGTCTTATTTACCGAAGCCCAGTACAGGCAAGATTACTTTTTTGGATGCTTGGATGGCCCGTCGTCCATGGTTGTGCGAGCCCCAGCACAATTTCCATTTTTTCAGAGTTTTGCTAGTTTAGCTATTGTGGTTCCCTGGAGTTCCGCGGTCAGCCTAGGCAAAGTCTACTCCAGGTCGTCACCACCACAGACAGTCTCGGCCCTTCTGGATCAGAGGGAGATTTGTTTTACTCTTAGCTGAACTTCCTGGTGGAAACACCGGACTCCTTCTCAGCTTGGGAGGCTCTGCAAGGGGATGCACCCGCTATACATCGCAGTCCGACACCCAGTAACACCTCCCAGCTACGATGAGGCGGTTAACCCTTTAGGAAGGCAAACGGAGCATACTATATGGTAACGAAATAACATAAGTTATTAATGGTTACTTAACATGATGATCATGGCGATAAAAATATGTGACAGAACTGAGAAATTCGACTCACTGTTTTCTCAACTTCCAAAACTTCTTGCCTTAGTTGTTTCATACTCTCTTAACTGTATGATGCTGAGATGTTTGCAAAATGTGGATCACATGCCAGATCGAACCCGCGATTACCCTTCCCTGGGGTTCACGTGTTACCCATTGCAGCATGACTGAGGCCCCTTCTTTGCCTCTCTCCCAGCCTCAAATCATAGGACTGAGATGTTGGCACATAAGGTTAAATGGAAATAGTTCAAGGATGTCTACCATAGTTTCATAACATGAATCATAGCCATCGAAGCTCGTTGAGGTAACGTTTTTGAACAATCCCGGTTTTACGGCGATCACCGTTGATTTCACTGACGCCGCCAGAATGGTAAAACCCGCTCGTGATTTAAAGGGGGAAGGCCTGGCTTTTTTAGGCAACAAACGTACTTACATAGTTTCTTGTGTGGTTAGATGGGCCATCTTCAATGGTTGTATGGGCCGCAGCGAAATTTCCAATCGTTTCTCTCTCGCAAAATCGTCGTTCATGATGTTGGTCTGCTTCTACTATGTTAACGTCTGCGAAGCCCGTTCTGTAATCCTGAAATCGTTGCTAACTGAGAGTGCAGATAGTTGACGTTAAGAACACGTCCGCCTTTCGCTTAGGTGGTTTTTCAAGAGGAAGTTTGCATTCTCTTAGAATCCACTCCAGTGTTTTTTCGTCCATCCGTCATCTGTACTTCTCATTATCCGGCCGGCTCATCAGTGTTTCGTTATCGATTTACACTCTCCCAGACCCTCAAGGTGGAATAAGTTTTGGAGACCTGATCTGCTGGCTCTCACTAAACGTTGTGAGCGCCAAATAAAATTCAGAAGACATCGTTTTTGTGATCTATGGGTGGTGCGCATATTTCTTCACGTGGTTGAAGCATCAACTCTCTGTTGCATAAAGAGCACTGAGAGAACTACTTGATCGAAAAGGTGAGCGCGCAATTTTGGGTACTTTAATTGGTTGGTGGAATCTTCAAAAGGCCCGAATAATGTTCATGCCGGTCTCCTTCTGTCTAATTTCTCCTTCAAGTCAGTTCCTCATGTTTTCGTTTTCGTTTCGACGCTGTCAAACGCTTTTTCGTAGTCGATTCGATAGGACAAAGGGCAGATGGTACTCGCGACAAACTTTTATGACTTATGATACGGCTTGTATGCGATCCATCCAACAAAATCTGTCTGAATCTCCTGTTTGCTCAAGGGGTTGTGCCTCATTCAAGGCCTTCGATATGTGCAAAAAGATAATCTTCGTGAACAGCTTGTATAGTATACTCAACAAGCATAATGCATGATAGTTATGAAGATTTCTTCGGTCACTCTTCTCGGATTTGATGATCGTAAGGTAAGATGTCATGTGGGTTACGAGAAGGATACGTAATTTGTGGCCACCAGCTCTAGGAAAATCGACGGTGATATTATCAGGTTCTGGATCCGTGTTCCTCTCTATGGTTCCTGTCGTAACTCGAACTTGAGAGAGCAGTAGAAATGTAATGCTAA